AGTGTTGACAGGGGCGGTCTCAGTGCCAGTAGGAGCAGTCTCAGTCTTGGTGTCAGTGTTGACAGGGGCGGTCTCAGTACCGGTGGGAGCGGTCTTGGTCTTGGTGTCAGTGTTGACGGGAGCAGTCTCGGTCTCAGTACCAGTAGGAGCAGTCTCAGTCTTGGTATCGGTGTTGACGGGAGCAGTCTCGGTACCGGTAGGGGCGGTCTCAGTACCGGTAGGAGCAGTGGCAGTCTCAGTGCCCGTGGAGAGCTCCTCAGTGGTAGAGTCGCAGTCCTCCTCCTCAGTGGTGGTGTTGGTCTCAGCAGGGGCAGTGGTGGTGGAGGCAGCCTCGGTGGTGACACCGGTGGCAGTCTCAGTAGACTGAGAAGCAGTCTCGGTCTCGGTCTCAGTCTCAGTGGTAGCAGTGCCAGCCTTGGTAGTGGCGGTCTCGGTTGTAGCAGTGTCAACCTCAGTGGTACCGGTAGTGGCAGTCTCAGCCTCAGTGCTGGCAGTCTCGGTTGTGGCAGTACCAGCCTCGGTGCTAGCAGTCTCGGTGGTAGAGACGATAGCAGCAGTGGTGGTAGTGGGGAGAACGCAGGTGCAAGCCTCCTGGAGAGTTTGACGGTCAGCACAAGCTGTAGGGAGCTCGCAGCTCTCGATGTGGTCGCAGAAAGTGGCACCGAGAGCGTGGACAGCCTGGTAGCAAAGGTCCTCGGTATCACACTCGCATGTCTCCGTGGAGGGAGGCTCGTAGCGGGGGGAGATGTTGGCAGAAGCCAGGCCAAAGGCCATGGCCATAAAGACGACGCTCTTCATTATGTTGGAAAGAATGTACAGATTCAGTAATGAACGAATGGACTGCGGTAGAACTCTGAAGAGTTACTTATGTTCCGCGAAGACTGTAATAAGAGAGAGTGACAAGAAGAGAAGTGGGAAGGAAAAGAATGCCCATGTAGGTTGGAGGATGGTGTTTATATGCAAGAAACGACCGACAGCGCCTGGTCCGTCCATTCATTCATTCATCCCCTACCCTGCCTCTCTCTCTCTCGCTCTCTTCTCATCCTCTCGCGGGCGTGGGCCGTTGGGCGTGGGTGGGTGACCCATACTCAGATTTGATAGTGTGCCTGAGCTTCGCGTTAGTTTGGGGCGCTATTGAGCAGGGCTTCACACCCATGTCAGAGATGAGCAGATGGATCTAATCCAGAACAAGGACCCTGCTCAGTGCTGTAAATAACGGGCTCTTGTGTCGTCAGCCCGGCCTTGGCCGTGGATGTGCCTGTTGGAAAAGCAACAGTAGAACAAAGTGCGTGCGGGTCGAAGAACGATGAAAGTCGTTAGCCACTTGGGCAATGGTGCGCTGAGTCGGGTCTCCACAGGGGTGGTCCCCTGACCCCTGACTAAATCGTGGCTAAACTAACCGCCTTGGGTGTCGTTAGCGGAGTCGCTAAGAGGCAGTCGCCGAGAGCTGCGGTGGAGCGATACGATACTGGGATTAGCACACATGGACTCTCGTCTATTTGAGCCGGGGAGACGTTTACAAACATTCAACCTTGCAAGGCCTAAAGCTGTAATAGCTAGTAGAGATGAGTCGCTGAGCAATAGTTTGTTGTCGGATGTCGCACCAAAGAGTCCGGTTTCTTCGGTGGTCAGGCGCTATTACATCTTGTTACTTCAGCTCAAGGCTGGACCAAATAGTTTACGATAATCTTGATTGATACGAATAACCTTCTGGAGTATCCCATCAGCTGAACCTGTGCATTGATTCCTAGTTGCTGTTACCGATAGGGGTAGTATCCTTCATTTCCTGTATAACCTCCATGCAACTGTAATCGCATGTTGTTAGTCATCGGCATTTTGTATTGTTCCTCTGCTAGCCTTTGTCGGCCATTGTATTTAGCATCAAAGAAGGTTTGTTATTTTTAGTGTTCACTCTATCGTCCTCTCCGGAGCAATATGGAGAATAGGAAATTAAGCAACCCATATCGGCTTTGTTAGTGAGAGGCAGTGACAGAAATACGTTACCCTACGGAACGATAATGACTGAAGAACCACAGATTCCAAGTTTTGGCATCTCGAATTTTCACTGATCGTCATGATGATCACCGAGATCTGTGCTGGAATCTCATCGATCGTGATGGTTGTTTGAGACTGGTAGGATCATGGTCCCCAAGGACCCGAAGAAGCCGATTTAGTGGGAATTGTTTCCTTGGTCTGCTTCAAAGAAGCCCCTCATGATGACTTGCTTACACTCCACCAGCTTACAGAGCCGACGTTTTGTCTTCTATTGTTTCCTTTCTTCACTCTTGATTAGGAGTATCTTTGGAACAAGAACGGTAATATTGATGACCGTTGACCATTCTTCGGTCCTCTTTTGGTTCTTTCATCTTCATCAAATGCCGTTTACGGCATTTCACAGCCTTCACATTCTGTTTTGGTACCACACTGGATCCAAAAACGTCCATTTTGTGTGCCCGTTGATCCTCACCAATGACCATCGCACGATCAACACTGAAAGTTCGGGTACCTGACAGCATGCAGATTTTAGCGTCCGCAATCTCCAGAGTGTGGATGACAACGACAAAGGAAACACACAGAAACACAACCAAGCGTCATAGACGGGTTGTCAAGGCTTGCATTAACCCAAGGGGGAGATTAAAGAAGGATGAACCCAATTGCCACGAAAAAAACGGGCATCGAAAGATCCGGTTGTTTGGTGGCTTGGGGGGCACTTTGAAAAGAATGCAAGCGCTGCAAGAGGGTGCAATTTGCATCATTCGCGCTGTGGCGTCTTCTAGAGTCCAATTGGCGTCCGTGACTCGCCCACTTGGTGCTAAGCTATCGTAAGCAATCGTGCGCATGCGAGAGGGTGTGTTTTATGCATCTGCATAAGTGAATAGTTTCTTTTTTTAGGGGTAAAGAGGAGGAGTAGATGCGAAAGCGTTCCTGACGGTGGCTGTCGTGCTACTGGTAGTTATAATCGTCTTACTTACGGTGGCATTGAATACTGGGGAAGCCTCTTTGACTATAATCATGATCCATGATTGATAGGACCCTTTGTGAAATGTCAAGTTTCGACATCGTCCGGTCATTCGATTGAAACTTTTGGCATGAATAAACAGTCAGTGCTTCGGATCCATTCGCCGAGGTTGATTTGCAAATTCTCCAACAATCTAGTTCATCTCATTGGACCATCGAGGATCCCTACTCCCTGCCCCTGAGTTGTGCTTCCCTGTTCATAAAATAATACATTTGCCGGTAATATTTGGATAAATCGCGATAATGCAAGGGATATGACCTACGAGGTGACATTTTGTCGCACAAAAATCATAAGGGTTCAACACGATCTGAGGAATCCTTGCTCATTACCACGCGATAGCCCCAGGGACCAATTAATATCCTCGTCTTGTCGCTCTCCTCAACTGAGGTTGAGCCAACGACTCCAAGCCCCAAAATGTCCAGCGGCTGCGGGAGTGGAGAGTCATCTCCCGCTGTGAGACAAGACGATACAAAACGACACGTTCTATCGGTTGAAGCCGCATTCCAGTGCGAAATAACCTCAAATCGTACTTATTTCCTATCGCTCTTTTCCCCCCCGCCCCATATAAAGCGCAGTCCACTTTCTCGTTCTGCTTTACCAATGCTGCCCTTGTCACCGGAGACGATTTGTGTTAGCGCACCACGCCAATGGTGATAGTTCCATGCAGGCCTGTCACTCTCAAACCGCGCGTGAGTCTGCTTGTTCCCTTCTTGGTGAGCTCTTCGTTGGCCGTTGCTGTTGTGTTGGCCTGCAGCATTGAAAAGGGGAATCCTTTCGTCATGGGAGCATGCTACTGATGCAGAAGCATACAGGCATTCAGCGCATACTATCTCCATAGTGATGAGTGATGCATGGAGACTCTGAGTTTTCACATCACCCCATCATGCCTTGGCAACCCGTGCTCAGGCCCCGTCGTATAGCCAAAAAGCAATGTCATCTAGTCTAAATGTCATTTTTCATCTTCACTCTCACTTTCGCACGCTCCGGTGCCTTGGACATTTTTGCCACAACTGGAGCCGAGAAGGAAGCTCTGCTCGTCCCGATGATCTGCCCCAGATAGGGGAGGGGAGCCCTGTTGACCTCTAGAGGTCGAGGCCAAGCTGAACGCAGGGATTCTATGGTCGAAGCGTCGAGCTATCGAAACTTGGAATTGATAGTTTTGCGAATAGCTTATCTTGGCCAAGCTCACGTCTATTCTAGGCTTTTGCGTTCCGCTTGCGAAGCTGTTCTTGGGATTTGCGGAAATGAGGCTGCTGAGTTTTGCTGTTTTGTTCAATGCGAGTGTGATGATGGTGTGGTGCTGTCAGGTTGAGCTGGAGGTGGTAGGTGGTGAACTTTAGGTTAAAGAAGCTGTCAGACCCAGCAATGTTATTGTTGTTTTGAGGCGTCCTCGCTACTGATTTCCGTCGCCTTGTCAATGATTGCTATACTTTTGAGCCTGGTTCTGTTGTCCCTCGTGACTGATACTGATGTTATGCCCTAATCTACCTTTTGTGATAGACTTTCCACACTCTGATGAGGCAACAGAAAGATTATCTAACCACAACGCTGAGATCAAAGGATAGTGCTAACCTGGGATCTCGACCACAGTCCTTTCCATGGCAAGCTGCTCTCAAAATCTTACATGCGTTCCTCCTGGCTTGACTTTAGGTACGATTCCCTAACTCGCCCTAAGCACAGGCTGCGCTACTCGCACATATGCTATGACTGGCTGTCAAGTGGCCGTTGACCCTATACCTCTCGTTTGGCCAAAACAGAAGATCTTGTTCTCCCCAGTATTTTCATGGGAGACCCAGCTACACATGATCTCGCTGTTTGACTTCTGAGGCCAATCACCGCAATGCCAGATGAACAGTTCGCCCTTAGCTTATGATCTCGCATACAAGTCTTGTACGTGGATGATTAGCGGCCTGTCAAAGACAAATTATACTCTATGCTACAGGCGAATAGTCAACAGTTCACAAGTCTATCCAGGTGCATATCAAGTATATCTCTGATAAGCCCCGGCACTTGCAAATAGGGCTGCGCACCATTGGAATGTAAACTTTCGATTGCCGATGCACTGGAATGTTGATGGAGATCAAGGTTTAAGGCTTCAGCAGGGGCACGACGAGGCTCTGCATTGGCTCCATAACAGCTTCGAGAATGATTCTGAGGTCTTATCAATCTGTCATATTTTTGTATTGTCTAAAATTGGCTCAAGTAGCGGGCATAGTTTACCTCGACGAGAGGCAATACACTGGAGACTTAGTATTAAATAAAATTTTCGGCTTTTTTTTGTCAAGACAGAAGTAATGAAGAAAATACCTTTTTTACTTTTTAAACTTTTAACTTTTATCCTTATTGCCTCTCCTTATACTACACCTCCACGTCCTCCAACACTAAACTTTTGTGCCTCAATAATACTATCCTTAATAGCCGGTAACTCCCTGCCCTGTCTGCTTGGCCATGGCAGGAAACCTGTTTCAGCAAGGTATCTCAAGAAGCGACCAACACATTCCCTATCAATGCCCTCTCCTGTACTCTTATCAATACCTGTCCACCGGTTTGCATCAGCCTTAAGGATAGCAACAGCATTGCGGTCATTAAGTTCTGGTGCGCGAGTGGTTGTAGGCAGATCAGTTATTGCCATGTGGAAAAGAGGCATTAAAGCGCTTTGTTCCTCATCTTTCTGGATAGGACCTGCTGAAACAAAGGTCTCAAGCTGGGCCTTCCAGTCGTCGTAATCTACTTCATTAACATCATAGCCATAGTAGCTCAGGATAGAGAGATACTCGTTCATGCGCAGGCGAGGATGGGCAGTGACGTGAACAACGTGGACACCGACATCGTTGCTGTTGCTGTTTTCAGTTTCGACCAGGAGAGGGTTTAAGCTAGCTGCAACGGCGACAGTAGAGACATGGCCTACAGGTACGGCGTTGATCGTGTTGATGATATACGGTCGGCTAGACAGCTGGATACAGCCCTTGAGCATGCGGATAAGAAAGTCATCGTTATTGCAGACACCTGTAGTAGCGTCTCCAAGGATATAACCAGGTCGGACAACAGATCCGAGGAGACCTCGTCTGCCAGCCTCGCGGACGAGTTGCTCAGATACCTGTGGTGTATGAGAATGAATGCTACTCAAGCAGAAAGGTTTATGGAGGTTACTTACCCATTTGGACTGGCCGTATCCAGTGCCGAGACCGGTGCGACTGCCCATCATGTCATCTGCTTCCATGACAGCGCCTTTTCCAGTGCTGGTCTGCTCGTGTGATAGGTTGATGTAGTGGTCGGTGTCTAAAACGCTTGTCGAGCTAATGAATGTGAAAATCTTAGGCTTGCCCTGGTTACAAAGTCGCATGGCATCAATTGTTGAGAGGACGTTGCTTCGCTCAAGATGCTTATACTGCTTTACCCAGTGGACGAGGGCGCCGTTGTGGATAACCACATCGACAGAGTCACTAAGCATCCCCCATGTATCGTTGCCAAGTCCAAGGCGCGGCTGTGTTAGGTCACCAGTGACTGCAGTCAGCCTAGTGGCCCAAGAGTCCTGCCATACGCCGTATCCGCGAAGTGACCTCTGAAGCCGCTCGAGGGCGGCTTGGTCACTGTTTGTTCCACGGACATGGGCGATCACGTGTATGTTCTGACGCTCAAGCAAGTCCTTGACGATATAAGAGCCTAGGAAGCCCGTGGCGCCAGTCACAAAAACAGTCGTCTTTGTTGCCGGTGTAAGTGTCGCAGGGTCCGCCGTCTGATACTTGGTATCGAGGCTAGCGAGCAGCTTATCGAGTGAATGTGCATATGCAGCCTTCTCGTCCTCTGTTGCGTCCGAGTTGTCTTTGCCCTCGCGCTGGCGGTCAATATGTGCGCTAAGAGCCCTCAGGGATGAATTCGAGTATAGTGAGCTAATAAGCAGGTTGACCCCCAGGTGTTTGCGGGTATTGAGAATAAGCTGCTGGGCCAGCAGACTGTGCCCACCACTTTCGAAGAAATCAGACTCAGGCTGTAGGGTCTTGGCATTCAAACCATTGATGAGAGTCGCCCACTGCTCCGCTACTTCCTTTTCGGTGTTGCTGAGCGTTTCCCATCTCTTCAAATCCTCCTCTGAAGCCTCCTCCGAGATCAGGGCCGCGTCCGGGAATGGCAGGTTTGGACTGTCAATCTTGCCGTTAGGGTTCAAAGGCATCTTCTGTAGGAAGATGAAGTATGACGGGACAGCTTGAACTGGCAATCTAGACTTAAGATGGTCCCGAATCTCCGTTTGCATTGGACGGTAGCGCTTGGAATACACCATGACAGCTCCGATCTCGGTACCTTGCTGCTCAGTATCTTCCAAGCTGTGTTCTGCTAGCCACTTGATCCACTCTTGGTGTTCGGGCACAATATAGCTAACCAGTGTTGGCTCTTCGTTCCGATCTCTTCGGAGGAGCGTCTTACACTCGCGGACTAAACGGTGTCCTTTCAAGTTGGTGTCGATCTCATTAAGCTCAATGCGAAAGCCACGAACTTTGACTTGATCATCGGCTCTTCCTGTAATTGCGCAATCGCCAGAATCGTTCAAAAAATACCCCAAGTCGCCAGTTCTGTAGATTCTGTCTCGCGGGCCTTTGTAATACTTTCTCCAGGGCTCGTTGGCTTGATCAGCAACTTTGTTGTCCGCCTCAACCCACTTTTGGTTGTCAACGAACCAGTTGTCGAGGAACTTTTCCTTGGTTTTCTCTGGGTCATTCAAATATCCGTAAAGTAAATTATTAGCATGACTCTATCAGAAAAGGAAAGGAATGACTTATCTCGGCTAAGCCTGCTGATCTCAACATAATCTCACCGACCTCGCCGATGCCACAAAGCTTGGTTGGATCCTCCCGGTTGACAACGAGGAGCTGGACGTTCTCGATGCCCTTTCCAGCAGGAACAATATCGCCAAACTTATCAAATGCATTCGGATCTTCGGCGTGGCTCTTGATGTGGTAGTATGATACGCTACGGCTCGTCTCAGTGGTACCATATGCAGCGCAAATCTCAGCGTTAGGCGCCAGCTTGCGGAGCGCAGCACAATCTTTCTTGGTCAGAATATCACCAACGTAGAGAACCCACTTCAATGAAGGGAACTCTACCTTGGCGCCGCCGCACAAGATTTGGCCCATCGCAGGAGTCAAATGGACCGCGTTGGGTTTGTGATCGCGGAACCACTCAGCTAATCTTTCGTGGGCGATATTCTCGCGAGCAGGGATAATTAGCTCTCCGCCCATGAAAATCGGACTGAAGATGTCTCGCTGAATAGGATCATGGCTTATGCCACTGTGGTTGGTTAGCAGAGCTGTGACGGGCATCATCATTGATAAGCTTTACCTTAGACAAGCGAACTTTGTGTCTGAGGTCCAGTTGAAGGTTTTGGCCATCCACGGGAAGTACTTGGCTAAGCTGTAATGTCTGCCCAAGACGCCCCTGGAAATAGTTAGTAATATTCGAAACTTTAAGGGTTGCTGGATCTCGTACTTGGGTGTGGATGTTGTACCACTGGTAAAGCTCAGAATACTGATTGAGTCCGGACCCACAAGAACATCAGGAGGCGCTGATGCTTTGCTTTCAGCGTCTATAAAGACTTCCTTCCCGTCAACCTGGCCACCGGTAAGGTGTCCATCATCGCTCATCCGCAACTCCGGTATTTGTATCTTAAGGGATAGCTCCTCGTCGATATAATTCTGGACACGCGGCGCGAAAGTACCATTCTCGTCTCTGGCCTTGCCAATCGTGATCAGGGCTTTGGGTTGTGAGACTTCCAGGTAGATCTGCTGTCTCGCCGGGGGGTATGCCGGGTCTAGGACAGTAATTGTGGCACCGGCAGCGAGAGTTCCCAGGAAGGCGATGACGAGTTCGACGGAACGATAGGCAAATATCATAACGACATCGCCATGAGCGATGCCAGCTTCATGGAGCTGGTTAGCCAAGACATTGGACGCCTCATAGATCTGCTTGTAATTGAAGCTCCTCTCGGGCGTGGTGGAGGAGGCCGTTTCTGTGACGCACGGCGCGTCAGGATTCTTTAAAGCATTCTTGTGGAATATCTCGTGAATGGCACCGATGTAGCTCCAGTCGAGCTCGTTGGTGGGATCGGGAAGCCCCATGGCGGCACCGATATAGCAAAATTTATGCAGAGAGGGTGAGGAGGAGGGGGTAGCCTAGGAGCAAGGGCATTCCTGGAGCATAGTCCGAGCTGATGTTCTGGAAAGAGTCGTGTTTATGAAGAAAGAACAAGCACAACTAATCTACGGGCGAGATAATAGTTGAAGATGTGTCAGAGGAAGAGAATTCTGCCCCTCCGATCTTCGGGGCATGTTTCCTTATTACCCCTCCTTGACTCAGATCAGGGACCCGCTGACGCCAGCAGGGTAGCTTGCAGCGGTGCGGCTGCTGGCGGTCCCGGGGAAAAGATAATCCAGCAGGGGCATCGATTAATTAGCTACAACACAGAAATAAGAAGCACACCGACTTGACGTTTGTACCTTGTTTGCTCAGGGGATGTGAAGCTTTATTTACATCTGAGGATGACTTGCAAACACATTTTCGTGAATGCTGATCGAGTTATACCATGCCGGATTTAATTCAGGGTTAATAACCTCTTCTAAGGCTACCACTAAATAAGCATGTCTAGTTAGCCCAGTTAAAAATCCTTGGGTGGTTCTTCTCTATTCAAAAATGATCTTTTGTTAAAATTGCAAGTTGGCAAATTTCTGAGAGGGTGGCAGTTGACCGATAGAAGATAATATCCATCCAGGCTTTGACTACCAAGGATGCATGTAGCTTTATGGCGGCCGCTATGAACTTGTCAACATCGTGATAATTGCCTCCCTCATAGACTGTATGTTTTGAACCGAATCCGCCCTGAAACGTGCAGCAAAATGTTTGGGAAGGCCTCCAATAAGATAAGAAGACAGGGAACTGTAAGCCAACTTAATTAATTGGACAGCCTGACCTTGGACTGATAACCATCCTGAATTGAAGGTGTGGCGCAGCTACACTGTTCTTCCCACTGAATGACCATCGGTGAAAATATGCTGAAGAGCACTCAACGGGGGGACTTTAATCATCCGCAAAGACAATGTAACACACTATAACACACTATCTGAAACTTGCCGCAAATGAGTGCCAAAATGCTCACCGAAGTACTTCTCTCAATACGTTATCTTTGGGGGCCGGCCGGCTGAGCCACTGCCCTGGCTACCTCTGTGGCTGATGTCACCAGGGGTTTCCAGTGATTTGAGTTCTGCGCAATTGCGAGTGTCTGAGATGGGTCCCATTTCCGCCAAACATTGAGTTGTTCAACTTTTCTGAACTGTCCGCGGCGCAGTCCCGTTTCAGTTTGCTTTTTTCGCCACCGTCCAATTGAGGCTTTCACGGTGGTGTTGATGGTCTGGCGGTTGGCTTTGTTGCCTCTACGCTTCTGCGCGACCGTGGCTTGTCGGTTTGGATGGGGGCCGTTTTTTGGGATCGCGGATGCTGGAGTTGAGATGTTGATGGTGGTGGTTTTTCCAGTTTGAGGCTGCTCAAAGTTCTTTTCTGCGTGTTTGCGAATGAAGCGCTACTTGACTTTATTTAAATAGAAGGAGTTTTCCTTCCTGAAGCTGAGATTTTGGTATCATCATCAATACATTGACTGTCTTCTTACCTCTGAACCGATCACTGCAACTTGAGCTTAGAGCAACCATACGACCAACTAATCAGTATACTTCTGAACCAACAGAACAAACCAACATGCCGTCTTCAACTGCCAATCAGTAAGTATTGACAACTAACATGTCAAAACTGATCCACTGACAGTCATTTCTCAGATCCTACAACTACATCTACACCAACACCTCTGGTGGCTCGACTTACACGGGCGGCCAGGCCGCTTCCACCAGCACCATGCTTAACCAGTGGGCCACCACCCAAGACCGCACAGAACGATTCTACGTCACAGGCCAAAGAACTGGTCACGGTGTATGGGAAGGAATGGATAAGACTATGGCTTTCGACAGAGATTTTAATCGAACGAAATGAGCATATCAATGGATATGTGTTGTAATAAAGGATCGGGAGGGTTGCGGCTGTGAACTTTTAGCGTGGCGTTGGGGATAGAATTGAAGCCTTTAAGTCGTTTCCTTCTGGGCATTGTATAACAGAATCGGCAGTTCACCTCTGATAGAATAAACTTTTTTTCTCAATTCAATTTGCCTCTCTTCATCATGCGGATATCTGACTGACGAAATTTCATTGTGAGATTGTTGCTTATGTGGAGTTTGACCAGGAAGATAGTACAGTACCTACCTAAAGTTAGTCGGCAAGTCCTACGGACTACGGAGTCCCTTCCTGCGGATCATCGAGTGAACGAGTCCGGGAAGTCTATTGCTGACTGCAGCCTAATATTCCTCCTTACCTCTTACAACCTGCGACGATCAATATTTCCATCATGTTGTATTAATTTGGAGTTTACGTTGTCAGCCATTTCTGCAACCTAACGAATTTGCTCATTTCCACTCATACTTTTTACTCCGTCAAGCAACATGTCTGACGAGCGGTCGCCATCGCCTGAAGGCAGTGACATTGTGGTCATTGGTAAAGACGACACCAGCAATTATAATTCGGGCAATATCCTGCCTCAATCTGAAGCTACTATTGCCCGTATCCATGAGTGGCTGCGACCTACAGAACACAATATTAAAAGCAGTGAATATCGCAAGCATTTGGCATTCCATCTCGAAGGTACTGGGGAATGGATTCACAGATCAGACAACTACCTCAAATGGCATGAGAGCCAAGAAGATGGTCTCTTGTGGATCAAAGGTGTTCCAGGCTCCGGAAAGTCTGTCGTTGCAGCCAGCATGATTCAAAAACTCTCTCAAGAAGAAATACCAGTTCTTTACTTTTTCTTTCGACAGATTGTTGATGCCAATCATCGACCCATCAACCTTCTCAGAGACTGGCTAGACCAGATCCTCATCTACTGTCCTGAGTTGCAGGCAATCTTGAAGGTCTATCTCGACGAGTGCCGGGAGCTGGATAGCATATCAATCGACGAGCTATGGAGACACCTAAGAACAGCTCTGGCATCTGTGCCCAAAATTTATTGTGTGGCAGATGCTTTGGATGAAATGGACGATGGCAATAGTGAATTCATCAAACAACTGGCTGAACTTGGTCATTGGACTCCTTCGTCTGTGAAGGTTTTATTGACAAGCCGACCTACTGCCAATGTCGAGGCCGCGATGAGAGGCATGAGGTTTTTTGACCTCCGAATGGACGAGAAGGCTGTGGATGTCGATATTTCTACTTACGTGCGATACTGTCTATCCGGCACTTCTCTTTCTGAGCGCGATCAACAGCTTGTCAAAGAAGCGGTACCTGGCCGAGCCAACGGTCTGTTCCTCTACGCTAAATTGGCAATGAAATCATTTTTGGAGCCAGAAGCCGACATTCATGAGACGATTTGCAAGCTTCCACTTGATTTGGACGCTATGTACATCGGCATTCTACGAGAACATGCTCGGAGATCGGGAATTTCAGAGAACACGCAGGTGATGATCCTGCAATGGGTGACTCACGCGACTCGTCCTCTTCGGCTACTAGAGCTTGCCGATATGCTCAAGACAGTCGAGGGAAGCAGATTCTCAGATAGTCTGAAAGAGAACAAGGATCTGGTTCGTGCTGCCTGTGGCCCTCTGCTCGAGATCTTACCAGACGAGGCTGTGAGCGTTGTGCACCATTCCCTTACCGAGTTTTTGGTCGGGACATCAAGAACAGGCCGCACCCCTGTTTATCCCATATTGGACTCCTCACCAACCCACTACGATCTTGCTCTCGCTTGCCTCCGATATCTCTGCGCAGGCTGCCTTCAAAATGAAACTCTTACTCCGTCAGAAACTCTTAATAGCGGACGCAGCCGCAACGTGGACTTTCCATTCGCAGCGTATGCTATAAAGAATTGGCACGTACATGCTGCAAAATCTGGGTGGGCTTGCTTGCCTAATGACTTGTTGTATCAACAAATTGAATTGTTCATGGACAATAAGGAGACACGAAACAATTGGCTGAAAATATACTTGGATTCCTCTGAAAGGCTGAGGATTGAAGACGAAATTGTCTCCATGTCAGATCTCCATGTCGCCGCATTGTGCGGTCTCAAAGCGTACATGCCGGCCCTCATCGATCGTCTGGGCCAGAAGAGCATAGACGAACAAGACTCAAGAAAAAGAAACCCGGTGTGGTGGGCTGCTTTAAGCGGACACCCGGATATCATTGAGCTGCTTCTAAACCATGGGGCATCACCTGATACTCATGACTTTAAAGGCTACCAGGCATTGCATGTAGCTGCAAGGAGGGATAAAGCACAAGTTGTTCAGCTACTCATTGAAAAGGGAATAGCTCCTACAGTCCCACGTCTCCAGAAAGACACCGACCCAGCTAGAAAGTATGCAGATACACCATTATATTATATAGCATCATACGGCCATGTCAAGAGTTTGGAAGCCATGCTTCCATTTTTGAACACTACTGAGAAACGATCTGCTTTGCGCATTGCCATCAAGAATAGGCAGCCACAGTTCGCTAAACGAGTTCTTCAGGAGCCTGATGTCAATTCGAATGATATTACTGGATTCGAGACACCCATCTTTCTCGCTGCTAGAACAGGCTGTGTTGAAACAATCGAGGTATTGGTGAATGCTGGTGCAGATGCTTCTGTTCCTTGCAGGGTGGAGGCTGATGTCTGGGACCAACAACAGAATGTGTTGGAACGCCCCTGGTCGACTCCTCTGATAGAGCTCTGTGAGCCACAGTCTCAATTCATATGTCGGCCATATAAATCTTCCCATTACATGACGGATCTGGACTGTTCAGATTTTGACCGTGCCTTGGCATTACTCATCCAAGCTGGCGCAGACGTGAACGAGAGAGATTCTCTGGGTCGTGCTCCCATACACTCAGCGCAGTTTTCTCACAAGTTAAGACGTCTACTCGCAGCGGGCGCTGATCCAAATGCTGAGACAAAGGATGGGAAGACCGCGCTGCATTGCCTGCCAAAGAAAGGTGATGAGGAATACCTGAAGCTCCTGTTGAAAGATGAGAATGTAGACATCAACAAAAGGGATCATTGCAAAGGCAGGACACCTCTTCTTGCTGCCATTTATCATGATTCGGGCCTTACTCCACAAATGCTGAAATATAGGCCCGATTGTACTGTTACTGATTTTGAAGGGAATGGCCCTCTCCATTACGCATTTTCTCATTATAATAAATTGTCTTCGCATGAGAATTCTGGAGATGAGGATGGGGAGAACACAGACAGCACTCTGCCGACAGTATTGAGAACACTTCTAGAAGCTGGTTCGGATCCGAAACTGACAAACATTGATGGAGAAACGCCCTTACATATTCTTGTCACTAAGGGGTTCTACTATCAAGATGAATGTCTGCGTATACTACTCGAATATGGAGCTGAGATCGATGCCAGAGACATCAGAGGCCGGACACCCTTGTTTCGGGCCGTGGGCAGATTCCCAAAGCAACCTATGGCAACAGATATTCTTGAGACTCTTATCAAGGCTTCGGCAAGTATGAATGTTCGCGATAATTATGGGCGAACCCTTCTTCATGAAGCGATTCACAGCATTACCGACCTTGATTATGCACATAGAAGACTCACCGAGGTATACCAATACCTCCTTGACGCTGGTGTGTCACCTTGTGCCGTGGACCTGCATGGCAACACTCTATGCCACGAGTTGGTTCTCGTCCCAAATGCAATAAGGCTATCAGGTAAAGGAGAAATATTCCTTTCACTTTTCGAAAAGGCGGGTTTGGATGTAAACAAACCCAACTATGCTGGCACGACACCTTTGCATCTAGCTTGCCGCATGCGTCTGGACGGAAACCATGGGGTCAATTACCATGCAAAAGATTGCTTGAGATGGCTCCTCAATCAATCACCCGATGTCAACGCGTCAGATACCCAAGGGTTGAGGGCCATCCACTTCGCCGCCTCCACGAACACTTACACTGTTGACCGCTTGTTGAACGCCAGCGCAGATCCATTTGTTACCACAAACCAAGGCATGAATGCCCTACATATCGCCGCGAGGTGTAAAAGAAGTAACAGTCTCGGACTTCTACTTCAGCGCATGCACGACCTAAATCCCGACGCCACAAAAGTGGCACTCGACCAGAAGGATATTTTTCAATACACCCCGTTGCATTACGCAAGTCGCTCTGGGATTATCGAGTCTGTGGAACTCCTAATCAAAGTCGGAGCAGAGGTTAACCCAAATTTTGATGAACTCCGAGGGACATGCTGTCCTGAACCTTGGTTCCCTCCAATTCTTCAGTGTGTATTCTTCGACCGTGAGCAACGTCTTTGGAGGCGCGGGCCAGTCAAGAAAATACCTCGTGATGATGAGCTTCCCTTTCACCAGTTGAATGATCCCGACACAATCATCGCTGCTGGTTACACTGTCGAGAATAAGGAAAGGCACTTTGATGAGATCGTATCGGGGCCTCAACTTGAATTCCTCGATCCAGTGTATGAGGCCTCGCGATATGATGAGATCATCAACGCTTTGCTTGATGCAGGAGCAGATGTGTTTCTGGGTTCCCGCGGTTCAAGGTCGGCTCTTTACCGTGCGATGCTTTTCGCATCAGACGAGTGGCAGGATTACATTACAAACCTCCTCTGGAACTGCCAGGAGAAAGCTGGATATCTGGAACTTCCAACTCCTCTTCATATTGGAATATCGAGAAGCAAAGCTCTTCGTCAAACAGAGGTTGCGGTGTTGGATGAGTCACTCATCCCACGTGCAAAAGATACAAAATGGCAGAGAGTAGCACGATTACTGTCGGACCGCCACTTCTCTTTGGTAGCGAACCTGTACAAAGCTGGTGCGGACTATACTGCTTTCGATGTCGATGGTGTGTCGATCCTTTCGCGACTCGTCGAAAATGGTTACTATGAATTAGTCAATGACTGCTGCTCTCCAGAAGAGGCAGTAAGGTTTGATGATGCTCAATGGGTAATGGAACAAGGTGTGGAAGAGCTTGAGCCTTTGCTTGTGACGGCTTGTCGACGCTCTTCTCCCAATATGGAAGTCATTCGTGTCTTGGTAGAGGAAAAAGGAGTCGACATAAACGCACGAGGTCGTGACGGTCTTACTGCTCTTCATATTTTAGTCACTGGCAAGGAGTGGTGGCGAGTCTTTCACGCCATGCCATACCTGCTTTCTAAAGGGGCAGATATGGAAATTCGGGACGACAAGGGATGTACACCGCTGCTTTATGCTGTCACGAGATGGGGTGCCTTCCGGACTGCTGCGATGAAGTCGCTGATCGATAAAGGCGCTAACGTGAACGTCATCGATTCTGAGGGAAATGGATGTTTGAACAAAGCAGCACACCAAGAAGAGTTTATTCGACTCTTAGTCGGTCATGGAGCAGAAGTCAGTCCAACCACCATCCTTTCTGCGATTGAGTCCAAGCACCCAAACATCTTGAGCATTCTGTTGTCTGGCGAAAAGTCTTCCTCCCTTGCAGCGTCTTGGGAGATGACATTAAATTACGCAAAACGGCTGGATCCTGATATAAATCCCCAGGAAGCCCAGATGATACGTCAAGGTCATCCTTTGTTCTTGGCAAGCTCCGCATTGGGTACGCTTCGGGGCGGCGTCGAATTCGATCGTGATGCTGCTGCCAAACAGATGATGGAAGCTCTACTAGGAGCTGGATTCAGTCCGTATGCCAATTGCCTAGTCATCGTTGAAAAGCTTCAGTTGCCAAACAGACCTTCCCTACCAATGGCTATAGCGACCCATGCATGGCACAAGAAGGATTCTACGGTTGAGTTTATCCCCTATGCCAAAAGTCCTCACATTTTCAGACCACCCTTTATGGCTGAAAGGGTAGTGGTGCACGAAATCTTAAAAGGAAAACGTGTATATGGGCCGATCTTAGAGTTAGCCGATCTTGATATGGAGTTCCGCGATGCGTCTGGAGAAACTCTTCTTTTGGCTGCTTCTGAGCGAATGTCAAGCAGGGGTCCTAAGGGCGCCAGAGAAGACTATTTGCCTCTACGACTCCTGCTCGACAAAGGGGCAAATGCCTATGCAGTGGATAATTTCGGCAGAAACGCACTACATATTAGACTCGGATCTCGAGCTCTGAACGATGATAAGTTGGAAGGACTCAAGGATCTAGGGGACGCTGTACCGGCCTTGATCAACCAGACTGACGCTGATGGATACCGACCACTGCATTACGGCCTAGCCGCGCTGACGCATGGCGAGTTTGACCAAACTGAGCCCAACTGGCTTGACTATATTATAACACAGGGTGCGGATATGCTTGCCACTGATGGTCTTGGAAACAATGCGCTCCATTACCTTGCCCCTGGCGTCTTTGGGTGTCTCTGCTATGATGGAAGCCACACTCGAGATCCTTTTGAGCGCTTCTTGAAGTTGGGACTGGATATCAATGCGCGCAACAACGCTGGCCAGACACCAGCGTTCTTCCTTGCCATGAGAGGCTATGATGATGATAATGTGGATGGAGTGGTGAGTTGGTTGGATGAATTGGGGGTGGATTGGCAAGCGAGAGACGATAAGAGGAGAACTATTCTTCATGAAATGGCAGACGAGAAGGAGTATTTGTTCAAGGCTATTATGAACAAGGGAGTTGATCCTTTGGCAGAGGATGTTGATGGGCGTTCTACTTTGGATTTAGTGGCAGCCTACGATAATGAGGATGTCCTGAAGCTGTTTGATCGGGATGGTAGGGATGATAGGGAATGAGGGATCTACGACATCAATATGCTTCTACACTAAAGATTTACGATGCCTCAAGATCTCGTTTTATGATTTTCATGATAAGTATACATTGCAAGGCGAGCTTCAAACATAAGTCGGGCTACAAATGATGGTGCTCTGCTTTTGTGAATAGCCTCAACGACGTCACCATGTACAATTGAACCAATCATGTTGATTCAATATCCAAATCAGGAAAGTTCCTCAACACCAATTGACCTCGGGAAAGAGTGATAGAATCAGGCGTTCGTGTAAGTTGACAAGATGCCATGATCTGATATAAGATAAGGCACTTATTTGCGACATTATTTCACTGAAAGACAAAGCAAATGTTGGTATCGGCAGTAAGCTCCTTATCGGAGATAAGAAAAGAAACACAAAGCTTGGCTGAACAGGGATGATGGTTCTGGTGGTTCAGCGTCGGCTCAAGATGGTGAAATCGGCGATTGATCTGAGATGCGCCTATCAGGGCTGCATGATACAGGTTGGATGCATGCCGAAGTGGCTGCCAGACAGAAGAGGAAATGTTGAGAAAAAATCTGTTTATGAAGGCATTGAAAACTTTGATATCCCCACAGTCTTCCATTCACCTGAATAACATCTTCATGAGACTATACAGGGTATGACGTCGAACTACGGATAGAAAAACGCACTGTCGCGAACTTGATTAACCTCCGAGACCGAGTCAAGCAGGGGCGAAGAGAAGAGACATTGCTTATCGCGCAATATCCATTGGCTGACCCGGCAATAAAATAAACAAGCACGCAAGAAAAAACCTGTCTTTGTCTTATCCAACCAATGCCGTGGACACGTTGGCGAGCAACGGTTAGTTACTGGTGGGTCTGCCCGAGGAATTCTCGGGGAGCCCAGTGTGTGAGAATTCAAGAAGATCTGGCATTTTTGTTTTTTCCATTTTGTATGAGTAAGATGAAGAGATTTAGAAACTCACTGATGTTTAGGTCTTGGCGGAGCATGAGAAAATGTCAGTCAGTTGTCAGGTTACATGTTGCAAGTCATGAGATAGCTCGGTGATTACACCAAAAGAGCGGTCTTTGGAATAACGTCACTGGCCAACTTTGCTTCTGGGAGGCTAAACAGGGGGAGATCCCCAATTTCTACTGTTACCCCGGGTCTTGTATTCAAGATCTGTTGGCTGCTGTGAGCCAGTGAATAGGCACAATATGGGGGCATCATGAGTGTGAAAACCAGTCTTTGGCTTTGTTACCTAACGGACACAAATTGCGTAGCATCTCCCCTTGGCCCGGTCCGTGCATTCACCGGCGCCGATTATCCGAGTCTTCCCGAGCTCTAAAAAAATGCAAAGGAGGCATTATTTTCCCTCCCCAGCTGCTCCGCCGCGGGACCAAGAGAAAAAAAAGTCACTCAAAACACCAGAAGCTCTCCCTTTTTCTTCTTCTTCACTCCACCATCTGTTGTTAATCTCCCCTCAGTCTTTTTTCGTCTGATCCATAAACCGTCATTCACAATGGCTGCCTCTACCGGTTCCGCAAAGGTCGACGCCGTCGTCCAGAACATCAAGGCTGAGACCCCCGAGAAGAAGACTGGTCTTGCTCTCTACTCCCGATTCGCCCTTGCCGGTGCTGTCTGCTGTTCCGTCACCCACGGTGGTCTCACCCCCGTCGATGTGTATGTTTGAGTCGCCTCTGCGCTGAGTTTCTCGTCGTCAATTGCTTGAGAGCGTTTTGTGGTTGTGCGGGTTTGTCTCGGGGAAACCCAATTGGGCCCGAGATGGACACTTTTCAGTACTGCAAACCTTGATAGCCATGATGGAGAAGCAAAAGCGCACCAAATCGAACCGAAAGAACAAGATTACTGACTCTGAAATCACAGCGTCAAGACCCGCATCCAGCTCGACCCCGCTACCTACAACCGCGGTCTCGTCGGTGGTTTCCGCCAGGTTGTCCAGAATGAGGGTGCTGGTGCTCTCCTCACTGGTGTCGGCCCTACCTTCGCCGGTTACTTCCTCCAGGGTGCTCTGAAGTTCGGTGGTTACGAGTTCTTCAAGCAGCAGTGGATTGACGCTCTCGGCTACGAGACCGCCTCCAAGAACCGAACTGCTGTCTACCTCGCCTCTTCCGCCACCGCTGAGTTCTTCGCCGATATCGCCCTCTGCCCTCTTGAGGCCACCCGTATCCGTCTCGTCTCTGAGCCCACCTACGCCAGCGGTCTCGTCTCTGGCTTCGGCAAGATTGTCAAGAACGAGGGTGTCGGTGCTCTCTACGCCGGATTCGGACCCATTCTCTTCAAGCAGTGAGTATCCCCGCTGGTATACCGCTCAATTGAGTTTCAGCAAACTGACTTTCCCACTCAGGATTCCTTACACCATGGCCAAGTTCGTCGTCTACGAGAAGGTCTCTGAGGCTGTCTTCCGCAAGTTCCCCAAGAAGGACCTCTCCGACGGTATGCAGACCGTTGCCAACCTTGGCTCTGGTCTGATTGCCGGTTTCGCCGCCGCCATTGTTTCTCAGCCCGCCGACACCATGCTTTCCAAGATCAACAAGACCCAGGGTCTCCCCGGTGAGGGCACTGTCTCTCGTCTCATCAAGATCGGTAAGGAGCTCGGTCTCCGTGGCTCTTACTCCGGTATTGGTGCCCGTCTCTTCATGGTCGGTACCCTCACCGCCGGTCAGTTCGCCATCTACGGTGATCTCAAGAAGGGTAAGTTTCTCTCAATTTTCAACTCCTCCGAACCCGGCTAACAGTGCGGGCAGCAATGGGTGCCACTGGTGGTGTCGAAATCGCTGCTTAAATGTGTTTAAACACATCTCGAACGATTCGCAGAGTGGGAGAGGTGATATGAGAAGCCTGGGGAGCGTGGCCCAAGTATTGCCCAAGAGCTGGGCCTACTTGTAACAACAGCTGCTGTTAATGCCAAAACAGCTTAGCAGGAGCTTACGGATGACGTCCAGATTTGCTCTCGCTGTCTGGGAAACAAAAAAGTGATCTTTTGGTGGAGGGGGGATGCTCGTGTTAGACTCATGTTTGCCTGTGATACCTTTCCGCATTAATGGGCAGCAGACGGGTGATACCCCGCCGAAGGGTTGTATAATAGTCTCTTTTTACGCTGAAATCATAGACTGGGAGTTTGTGGACTCTTATATCTACTTGTTTTGTTCATCATGACTGTGATGTGTGAAGCTATTCGCAACTGGCGCCAATGGCGCCCTAGGGCCAGTTGAAAGAAATGACATTAATTGAGCCTTCTACTATTCAAGAGAACCTTATCAGAGGACTATTCACATACAAAACCTTTCGTTAGCCTTGAATTGATAATGCTCATCATGACATGTCGTTGCAATAAGGCTGAGCATCAGGCTACCACACCTTCCTTCTTTTCAGATCATGCCAACCCACAGGCCCCCACGTACCGCCCATCTATACTTTATCCGAAAATAGAAATACCACATGATTCGATTGACGATTGATTAATGCCCTGAACTGGTGTCATGTTGAGATCACGTTAGATTCCTTGTGCAGATCTGGCGTCGGGACCTCTCACTGAGCCTCAATACGTTCAATCCATTAGCTGCCTCTCCCTCTCTTGCCATCAAGCATCTCTCCTCACACATCAGTCACAATAGCTGTCCCTCTACAGACAGGATTAGCTAGAAACAGCTGAGCTGCATTATGCACAAACATAGAAGACAGGGGGCCCGAGACTATATAGGCTAACTTTGATGATATCTTGATCGCTCTACCAAAAACTATACCATCTTAGGTAAGAAGTATAAAACTCATCATAAGAAAACCATAAACATTTCATAATTTATGTAAATTTTGAATACTTTAGGTCTTAGGCTTGAAGCGGTATTCCAAGTTTATGATCTAATACTGATATAGGGTGTTATTGGAGTGCAGAACTAAATTGACACACCTAACTCCTTACAAACCGTAATTCATTATGCTTATTGTTCTTGAATGTTTCATGTAATATTTTCACTACCCAGAGCTACAATTGTCTTTCTGTTGCCCGTGTCCAGAGTTGAGGCCTAGAACAGCGGTCCAATTCCGCGTGGGGATGAGCTTATCTTATCAGCCAGAAAATCTCCCAAATTTTCTTCCTTTGCAGACAAAGTTCAAAGGGACCAATCCCCCGCCCTCCCGCTCTACATCAACAGATCAACAGCGAAGGCCTCGACGTCGCAATGGTCAAACGAAAGGTCGCTGCGCTCGAGAAGCTCGATGCTGACTTGTATGTCAATTGCGAAACAATTCGGCTTCTTTTTGACCATTCACTGATATTTTCTACAGCGCGAGTCTGCAACAAAAAATCCGTCGCGATCCCAAGTACGTCCCTAAATTCTCGACACTGCGATTAAATACTGATACGAAGCGCTAGGTCGTACAAGGAGGAGTTCTTGAAGCAATGGGAGCAGTATGAGGCCCAGCGCGAGATCTTTCTCGTTTCACCTGGCACTGCGACCGCCGATTCTGTCGAGTCTTTCCACAACATTATCGATCTAATCGCTCACGTCGCCGATTGCTACAAGGAAGAGACCGCTACTTTCCCCGACGATCTGAAGTCTATTCTCACACAGCACCATGTCATTCTGCACCCTGAGCTGCGGGAGAAGATCGTGGGAAGTCTGGTCTTGCTGCGACGAAAGGAAGTCATCGACTCGACCAGCGTCCTCACCACGCTTTTCCCCATCCTCGTATCGTCGCCCAGCAAAACTCTACGTGAAACTCTGTTCCAGAAGATCTTGAGCGATCTGCGAAACTCGAACACGAAATCTATCAACCACCCTCTCAACCGAACCGTTCAAACCGTTCTCTACAACCTTGTTACCGCCGATCGATCCTCTCCTCGAGCTATTTGGGCCATCAAGCTCACCCGCGAGATGTGGAAGCGACAGTTCTGGACCGATGCGAAGCCCGTTGATGTCATGAAGGAGGCTTGTCTGTCCGACAACGAGAAGGTTGTTGTTGGTGCTGTTCGCTTCTTCTTGGGTGGAGACAAGGAGCGTGAGGAGCTTGAGGACGAGAGCAGTGATGAGGAGGTTGATCTGAGCCAGGTCAAGCATCAGATGGGTATCAACAAGAAGACCAAGAAGTCGAAGAAGCAGTACGACAAGGCTGTCGATAAGGTCAAGCGAGCTGAGCGCAAGAAGACAAAGCCTCATCCCCTCAACTTTTCAGCTCTTCACCTCCTCCACGACCCTCAGAACTTTGCTGAGGAGCTATTTTCGAAACATCTACAAAACACCAAGGCGAAGCTATCTCTCGATACGAAGATTCTAGTGACACAACTCGTTACTCGACTTGTGGGTCTGCACAAGTTGACTATTGTGGCGCTTTACTCTTGGTTCATCAAGTTCCTTACCCCTCGACAACAGTCTGTTACTTCTTTCCTGGCTTCATTGGCGCAGGCGGTCCATAACTTGGTGCCTCCTGATGTACTGGAACCTTTGATTCAGAAGATCGCAAACGAGTTTGTTTCAGAAGCTTCGGCCGCTGAGGTCGCAGCTGCTGGTCTGAACTCTATTCGCGAAATTTGCGCTCGTCAACCCCTGGCTATGACCGATACTCTACTACAAGATTTGGTCCAGTACCGCAAGAGCAAGGACAAGGGTGTTATGATGGCTGCCAAGGGTCTTTTGTCACTGTACCGAGAGGTCGGTGCAGAGCTTCTTAAGAAGCGAGACCGTGGTAAGAATGCCACTATCAACCTGAAGGCTGGTTTCCAGGCCCAGCGCAAGTTTGGTGAAGAGGATGTCGGCGGTATCGAGGGTCTGGAGCTTCTGGAGAAGTGGAAGCAGGAGGAAAAGAAGAAGAAGCGACTTGCCAAGGGTCTTCCCGAGGATGCTGCGACTGATGAAGAGGATGAAGGAAACAAGTCTGACGAGTGGGAGGTTGCCTCTGATGACAGCAGCGAGTCTGGTGACTGGATCAATGTCTATCACTCTTCTGATGAGGAGGATGACGAAGATGAGCCTGCCTCAAAGAAGCAAAAGACAGACGAAGAACCTGTTATGGACGAAAAGACCAAGAAGGCTCTAGAGGAGAAGGAGGCCGAAATTGACCGCATCTCCAAGCTCGCCACCACAACCATCCTCACCCCCGCCGATCTCGCCAAACTCCAAGAACTCCGCATGTCCGCCTCCATCGACAAAGCAATGGGCAACCGTCGCAAGCGCCAGCAAGAAGAAGACCGCCACCGCGACGACGGCCTCACCGCCGAGCAAATCGAGGCCCCCGCGCGTCTCCGCAAACTCACCAAAGAAGAGCGTGTTGCGCTTGCTAAAGAGGGCAAGCCAGATCGCGAGGAGCACAAGAGCACGCGGGCTATCAGCAAGTCCAAGATGCAGGCCCAGGGCAAGAGCACGAGTAATAGAGAGAAGCAGCGCAACAAGAATATCTTTATGACGATGGGTAAGGCGAAGAGCAAGCATAAGAGGAGTTTGGTGGAGACGAGAAAGGTTCTTAAGAGACATGTTGATAGGAGTACTAGAGGTGGACGGCGAGCGAATGGTACATAGTTTTGGAGTTTGGGGTTGGGTTAGAGATAGGTTCTCTTGTGCTATTGACACAGCGCGCACTAAAAAGAAAGTCTTTATTTTTGGTTCTACTTACTCACTGGAGGTTCTTTGCCTGTGCCTTTTGATGAAGCAGCCATCATTTCTTAAGTTTCCTACTCCTTACCTCTCGGGTCGTCTCTCAAACGCCGATGGATCAGCCATCTGTCTTAGTCCGGTCTCCTAGCTCACCTGTCAGATTATATCGAGTCAGCATTAATTCGATTCTCCTTGTTTCGAGCCTTAGATCGAGTTGAATACTGGTGCTTGTGAGAACGAGCACGAGCACGAGCCTGACAAGATTTGCAATAGAAAGTGGTCCTGACTGGCTTGTTGCAACCAGAGGTTAGGCAGTGCTGCTTGATTTCATGGGTGCCGCGGGACATGGCGACGAGAATGTAGCAAGCCTGGATCGTTGCGGCGCTGGCGGACATGTTGATGAGGTCTTGCTCGATGTCTTTCACATCAGCGATGAGGTTGGTTTTGGTTTCCTGGGTGGAAAGCATGATGCCGGTCGGTTAGTTAGTTTCTTAGTTTACCTTGCTTTGGAGTCTGCATGTTGAAGCACCAGGTTCTTGTGATGGTTGAGGTTGTTAGAAAGGAAAGGTCGTGGATTTGTAGCATTTTGAGATGGTGTTGGCTGAACATGTAAGTGAATGAGGGTGTCGGATGACAACTGTGTTCGATGTTCCGCCCGTGGAAAGTGGATGTTCACGGTGTAAGGCATTGTGATGTTGAGTGAACAAGACGACTGTTCTCGTACGTGACAGCGACAAAGTCTAGAACACTTCTCGATCATGGTCAGGGGAGTGAATAGACTTTAACTTGTAGCCTTCTGATACAACATCACTTCAACCAACGACTCACCACGTCAAACCTTCGAATCCCCTTGTCTCACGTCGCATCCTGAGACACAGCACTTTAACAAACTTACTCGCAACCAACAGAGTAAAATGCGATTGGCCACCCTTGATCGTGCCAAGTAGATTACCATTCGGCATGGGGTTAACCAAACCGAGAGAGAAAATAGTCCGATGATAGACATGAAAATGGCCGTAATAAGAAGGCGCTTTATGCACGTAAGTTGCGTGCGTATCACGAGCGGAGGATTTAGCTTTTTGTGTTTCATTTCACGTTCTGCCCCGCGTTCTTGGGATTAAATCAAGGAGGAGAAGCCTAGGAGGTTGTAATTTAAAGAACAGGGACTTGCCGAGGGAGAGTGCCGTAGAGAATTGACGCTATTGCCAGCCTCGTTCGGCAGATGAATCCTTGTGAAGTTGGAGTAAATGCTCGATATGCATGAACAACACGACCAAACAGCAATGTTTACTATATATCCCCCTTCATCAAAGCTCTAGAAAGTAATGCTTATCTCTGCAAACTCTTCTAGAAGTATCAATCAATGCATCCTCAACTCACTTACCCTCCCACTCGGTCCAACATTACAACGATCCCATGGCCAAAAACCTGAATCATGTCCCGACCAAAAACAACCATAAACCATGCTTATCATTCCATCAACTAAACCCATTTCAGACGATCTCCCCTTCCCCCGCAAATCCCCAGGTTTTCTTCTCCAACAAACACACTCAAGCTACTGGAGCCTTTTCCCTAATGAGGTTACAGCGCAGGAGAACCGTGATGCCACACACACTCTCTTTTCTATGACGGTCAGTGTGTTACGGGCGCCCCCTTGCTCGGGTCTGCTCGAGCCGAAGAGAAATGTAAATAGCTTGCTCTTTCCCCTTTTGCCTCTTGAAATCGTAGTTTTTCTTTTTTCTTGTAATTGTCGTCGAAATATTCTCAAAATGGGCGCCAAAAAGTTCTTCAAGGAGAGATCGCTCAAGGTCTCGGATAAGAAAGTCACCAAAGCAGCGGAACTCACCTTGCGGGAATCCATCTGGCCTATTGCGCTGGTCACTGTTCTCTTCTTCCTCTGGGGTTTCAGTTATGGACTCCTTGATACGCTGAACAAGCACTTTCAAAAGGTGCTTCATATCGATCGTGCGCGATCGGCAGGTCTTCAGGCTGCGTACTTTGGGTATGTATACCAGTATCGACGAGTATTATAGTAGGGCTAATAAACGTTTCAGTGCTTATCCTCTTGCGTCGCTGGGACACGCTGCGTGGATCCTTCGTCATTATTCGTACAAGGCTGTGTTTATCTGGGGTCTTTGCTTATATGCTGTTGGCGCGTTGATTGCTATTCCATGTATCAAGGCGAAGTCGTTTGCTGGGTTTTGCATGTCCATCTTTATTATCGGAAACGGACTTGGTTCTCTTGAGACTGCTGCTAACCCATTCATCACTGGTATGTTGAGTCGTTCTCAGTTTGTGTTCGCCTCTAACATCTGTAGTTTGCGGTCCTCCTCGATATTCGGAAATTCGCATCAACATCTCCCAAGCATTCAACGGTATCGGTACCGTCATTGCTCCCGTTCTCGGCTCATATGTCTTCTTCAACAATCTCGATGATAACGCAGCGCTCGCCAACGTGCAATGGGTCTATCTCTCCATCGCTGTCTTCGTCTTGATTCTGGCGTGCCTCTTCTACGTCTCCAAGATTCCTGAAATCACCGACGCTGGTACGTTGAGTCCCCTGCACCAGCACTACGCTCACTAACAATCTTCAGACATGGCCTTGCAAGCTCAAGAGACGCATTCAGATGCCGATGACAAGCCCTTCTATAAACAGTACAAGCTCTTCCATGCTTCGTTCGCTCAATTCTGTTATACCGGCGCGCAAGTTGCTATCGCGAGTTTCTTCATTAACTATGCGACTGAGATGCGCAAAGGAACATCAGACTCAATGGGAGCCAAGCTCTTTGCCGGCGCACAAGCAGCCTTTACAGTCGGTCGTTTCTTCGGAACGTTTCTCATGAAATTCTGCAAACCGCGAAAGGTTTTCTTGGTGTTCTTGACAATGTGCATTGTCTTTATCGGACCACCTATCGTTCACCACGGAACCGCTGGTGTATCTTTCCTCTACATCGTTCTCTTTTTCGAGTCTATCTGCTTCCCCACCATTGTTGCTTTGGGTATGAGAGGTCTTGGTCGCCATACCAAGCGAGGAAGTGGTTTCATTATTGCTGGTGTTATTGGCGGTGCTTGTGTGCCTCCCCTGACAGGAGCTGTTGCAGATATGCATGACGTTGGTATCTCGATGGTTGTACCCATGATGTTCTTCGTTGCAGCCTGGTCATACCCAATTGCTGTTAACTTTGTCCCCTCTTACAAGAAGGTCGTTGACGTTTTCTACGAGGCAGACATCGGTCTTGGAGAGCGAACTCTCGATGAGGAGAAGATTCAGGGTACACAGCACGAGGAGAAGGATATGTCTGCACGCGCTTGATGTATGCAATCCCGTTCAGAGTAGTGTAGTTAGTAGTCAGAATACCAAGTTTTCAAAAAAGAAACAGTTGCAAAAGAAGTAGAAACAGCAAAAGAAATGCGTAATCTGGGAATCGAACCCAGGGCTCCCCGACGCTGCTCGAATGGCAACGGAGAATTTTACCACTAAACCAATTACGCTTGTGGTTTGTTGAAGACAACCTTGGTGATGGGAATTATGTCTTGCGATGTTTGGTCTTGGTGGAGGTACTGAATTTTCTTACGTGGCACCGTTGTGGGGCGAACAACGGCCTTGTGCTAGCCGAACCAATTAGAAATGGGCTGAGCGACTTGCGGAGTTAGACTGAAACGGCAGGCTGTCACGTGGACTCTCACGCCTCATTGTTCGAAGTGTTCTAGGTAAGATGCATAGATAGAGACAGGAAACAATTAGAAGAGTCTGACTGCCGAAGCATGATACTTAGTCGCTCAGTTACTGACTTCAGATACTCTCATATCCAATACTTCAAGTTAAGAGTATTTGCAACAACTATCCCTGTAGTGACATACTCGCCTCGTTCCGTTGAAACAGAACACGCAGTGACATATCAGCTACAAGAAACACATACAGTTAAGCATTGAGTTTAACGTTTTAAATTCCATAAGATCGTCGAAAGAGGTCGAAGCTTTACCGTCTATATTGACCGTTTCACATTTATTTTTATCATCAACTTAAAACCCCGAGATCCTACCCTGTATCTCAACCGGGACGTTAACTGCCGATACCTTATTTCTAACTTTATTATCTCCCGGTTTCATATCACCAGAAACATTCAGTATTTTACCAAATCGTTATTCAACCTCAACCATGTTCATTCTCAGAGACAAGCTATTCATAGTGTTAGCCTCTGCTTGTGAAGCAACCAGTGCTCCATATTGACTCGCCTCAACTCCGTGAAGATCACGAGTGGGCCAAAGGCAGCGTCTCTCTGAGCACTGATTTACATACGCCGTGGCAAGGAAGAGCCTGGAATCATAACATAGCCAACATCGACGATGGGAATCCCAATTCCCGGCTTCAGCCAAGATTTCTGTCTTATTGCCTCGGTGACATTTGAGAACAAGTCCTCATAGCAGTTGTCTCAAAAGCCACCTCACAGACCATATTTCCGTGTGGGATATACTCTTTTTGGAGACCGATAAATCATCCGAGAATACCCTCTCTTGCCTCTCCATCCACCATAAAAACATGGACCATCATAATACAGCCCCAGTAGCCAATCTTGCATTGACGTCTCACACGTGTAGAGATCCCCTTCTCTCATTCGTCGCGTTGAAGGCTTGGTTCGGACAATACCCGCAGATCTAACACAAAAAAGAACAAGCTCCTTGGCTTTATCCACGATAAAGTTGAGGGTCCCTCTATCATCATCCCTGCCTGCAGCCCGAAGACTTTGAACGCATGGTGCCTGTTTGATTGGTCGCTTTTTCGTTGTGTGTTTCGAGGTTTTGAGGTTTTGGCTGAAAAGAGTATCGAGTCGCGTGTCTGTGCTTCAAGCACACGAGGGCTACTCTAGAAGCTGAGAGCCATCAAACGTCAACGGTTGAGAAAGGAACAGGAATTGGGCCCTTCCAAGGGAGCTGTGAAGAGCTTGTCTACAGAAGAACAACTTAGCAACTCAAATCTAGCAATTGAGTTCAGAAACCTTCCAAGCTCAACCTTCGCCATCTCTCCCGATCATCACAAGCTCCCCCAGCTCGTTTCCCCTCCAGGATTCGTCAAGCCATAGCTCGCCTACAGCTTGGCATACATCCCCCTAGCATTAGCCATCTGCATCACCATCTCAGACGTCGGTGACGCATCAGGAATCATGTCGTGTGCTCACTCCTCTCCCATCTCAAACCCATCGTATTCCCCCCCTCAGCTTATGTGTCGCGTGCCCTATTTCCCAAAACCATCACTTCTTCCTTTCCCACGATCGCCAGTTACAGGCTGAGACGTTTTAGCACTGGAAACAAGGTTAGTCACAAGCTTAAGGTAAGCTTAACTCTTCAAGTGGAGAAGAGAGTGTGGTCTCCAGTTTCTTCAACGCCTCCCGGATGTGTTGCTACCGTTGACAGAGAAGCCAATTGCTTGCTGTAGAGCCTGTTCGTGCATGTTCCAGCCCTGTTCTGTGTTACGCAGTCACACTCGCACTCTGTTGATCTGATTCTTGGCATACAAGAATTTCTGTGGCAAGCCCGGGATGTTTGATGTTGATCCTAGCTCGAGGTCCTTTTTTACCTCTTCTTCGGTGGAATCGTCTTGGCGATGTCTTGTCTTGGCCCTTTTTCTTGGGGGGCGTGGGAGTAACTCCATAACCCACGTAGAATAATTCTTTCTTTTCTTCTCCACAAGCTGGAAAAACTTATATATACTATGGAAATGTCTCGTAGAAGCTGAATTCTCCAGATCCCTCACACATCTTCCTTTTCTTTCTGAACTTCTTCTTTCTACTGCACCGCTGAAATGGCAGTCTTCGCTCAGTACGACTACCTCTTCGCGGTAGGCACTATCTTTGCCTTCCTCGATGCCTGGAACATCGGTGCCAACGATGTCGCCAACTCGTGGGCTTCATCGGTATCTTCCCGATCTATCAGCTACTTCCAGGCTATGATCGGTGCTAGTATCATGGAGTTCACTGGTGCTCTTGGTGTTGGTGGCCGTGTGGCTGATACCATCCGAACAAAGATTGTTGATGTCGAGGCCTTTGATGACAGTCCTGCCCTTCTTATGCTGGGTATGGTCTGCGCCGTTGTTGCTTCTGCTAGTTACCTCACCTTTGCTACCCGTTTCGGTTTCCCTGTGTCTACTACCCATTCTATCCTTGGTGGTGTTTTGGGTATGGGTGTTGGTGCCCTTGGTGGCTCTGGTATCACTTGGGTTGGCTACAAGGAGGACGGCTCTCTTGATATCCAGCAAGGTGTTGTTCAGGTTAGTACTTAACCACCATCTCAAACTCACACCTACTAACTCATATCTCACAGGTCTTCCTCGCTTGGATCATCGCCCCTATGCTTTCCGGTATCTTCGGTGCCTCCATCTTCCTCTTCACAAAATACTGCGTCCTCCTCCGCAAGAATCCCGCCATCAAGGGTCTCATCCTCGTCCCCTTCTACTTCTGGGCCACCGCCTCACTCATCGTCATGCTTCTCATCTGGAAGGGTGGCTCTTATGAGGTCAAGCTCACCGAGCAGCAAATCCCCGGTGTCATTGTCGCCGCTGGTGCTGGCTGGGGTCTTCTTATGGCCATCTTCCTTGTCCCCTGGTTGTACCGTATCGTCATCAAGGAGGACTGGCAGCTCAAGGCCTACCACATCTTCCTTGGCCCTCTCCTCCTCCGCCGTGGACCTGTCCCCCCCACCCCCGACAACTTCCAGGGCGTCGTCCGCAACTTCTACGAGGGTCATCTTACCCGCGAGGAGCTTGAGGAGCGCCGCACTCAGCGCGCTGCTGCCCTTGGTGAAGATCTTGAGGCCGGTGGCGATGACAAGAAGGTTGTCACTGAGCAAGCCACCGAAGAGGAACCCGCCGTCAACCCATACCAGCACAAGTCCATGATTGGACCCAAACCTGATGCTCCTTGGTACACTGGTGCTTTCATGTGGTGGGCCTTCAAGTTTGCCATTCTCCACGGCGTCGATAAGGATATTGTTAGTTCCCAGAGCGAGAAGTCTGTTGTTGCTGGCGATGTTGAAGAGATTCACGCTCGTGCCGAGCATTTTGACAACCGAACCGAATTCCTGTACACTTTCCTCCAAGTCATGACCGCTGCTTCTGCCTCTTTCGTCCACGGCGCAAACGACGTTGCCAATGCTGTCGGCCCTTATGCCTCTATCTACCAGATCTGGCAGTCCGGCGCAGTCCCTGGAAGCAAGGCTCAAGTTCCTATTTGGATTCTCGCTTTCGGTGGTGCTGGTATTGTCATAGGTCTCTGGACATATGGTTATAATATCATGCGCAACTTGGGTAACCGTGTGACTCTCATGTCTCCTGCTCGTGGCTTCTCCATGGAACTTGGCTCTGTTATCACTGTCATCCTAGCCACTCGTCTTAGTAAGTTGTCCCGCAAACACTTTTCAACAACATGCACTAACCAGTCTTGCAGAGCTGCCTGTGTCTACTACTCAATGTATCACTGGTGCCATTGTCGGAGTCGGTCTCTGCAACGGAGATTGGCGTTCTATCAACTGGCGCATGGTTGGATGGATCTATCTTGGATGGTTCATCACTGTTCCTACAGCTGGTCTGATCTCAGGTTGCTTGATGGCTTTCATCACATACGCTCCTAACTGGAACTAGAAAATAGATTGCGATAGAACTGTTATGATTTTATGTTAAATGGCGTTTGGGAATACGATACAGAATACACCAATTTTATGATTCCAAATTACCTTAAACACATAAGCTTGCACATGTGACTTCTAGGGAAGGCAAAACTTAGGACCTTTCTCCTAAATTACAAAAAGACTAAGGTAAATTTAGGTAAGTTTAGTATAGCTTTAGTATGCCTTTAGATCAGCTCTTCCTTTAGCACTTTGTCTCAAGGCTAGAGGTTTTCTTGCTCCTTGAGAGACTGTTTAAAGCATCATCATCACATCTTGACTATGCAGCTCATATAAGAGAAAGAGACAGGTTACTTTTGTTAAAGGAATGGCTATCTTAAATGATGAAACAATGTACCTAATCCCTCCTCAACCTGCCACTAGACACAGCACTAAGTACTGAATTCTTATTATGTATCCAGGTCAAGTGGTTCTCTTGTGTCCAGTGACACTGGCCTTCAGATTGATGTCTTCAATCTCGCGCCTGGATGGCCTTGCCCTCGTTTGGGAGCGCATCAGTTGTAGAGTCGGGCGAATCGCACGGAGCGCTTCAGGGGCTTATGCTCCTTCTCATCTGCTTCGACGTACTTAGCAGCCCATTTCTCAACGGTCTTTTCAACAGCCTTCTCGACCGTGGTGTCGTCATAGGGATCTGAGCGCTTATCGTGCTTACCATCCTTGCTTCGATTATCCAACTTCTCATGCTCGGTGGACTCAGTAGTCTCAGCGGTCTCCTCCTCCAACTCGAAGATGGCAATGAGGGCCTTGCGGACTTCCTTGTCGATGATCTTCTCAAGAAGCTTCAGAACCTTCTCGATGGCGTGTTCGACCTCCTCATCTGAAGGATTATCACCCAGAGCCTCGAGGGTCTTGGCGAAGATCTTGTCGGCAGCCTTGATGATTTCGCTGATAGCACGAGCAAGGCACTCAATAACGACTTCCTCCTCAGGCTCTGCAACACCTTCAATCGTGACGATGTAGGTGATGGTCTTCTTGATGTTGTCTGCGATGATACTCTTGATGGCTTTCTCAACCTTCCTGACGTACTTGAGGATAGTTCCAGAGGTAGGGTCTGAACCGGCCTTCTTAACAGCCTTTCGGATGACCTCCTCGATAGCGTTGGAGATGTTGTCCTCAGCCTCCTCAATGTACTCCTCTACCTTGGCACTGTTGGCTTCTAACTCAGTAGCCTCGGTAGCTTTGTTAGACTTGGACTCAAGAGAGCGCTTGTGGGCGCCCTTACCACCCCAGTGTCCGGCATCAATGACAAAAAGCTTCTCTCTGAACTTGCGCTCATGAGTGACGCGGGCATCCCAAAGCTTCTCCAAAGCCTCGTGCTTGGCCTTTTCCTTCTCATCCTCCAAGCTCGCCTTCTTGGCGGAGTAGTGGGAGGACTTTTCGTACCCGGTGGGCTCATGTTCATGCTCCTTATGCTCATGATGGTCGTAGTGATGCTTCTCTTCAGGCTTATCCTCATGTTCCTCATGCTGATCGTGATGATAATTCTTGGGCTCATGCCCATGCTCATCTTCCTTTGAGTGGTGCTCCTTGTGCTCTTCCTTTGGCTCATGATCCTTGTGCTCGTGGTGACCAGAGTGGTGTTTCTCAGGCTCTTCGTCCTTGTACTCATAGTGCTTATAGTGGCCAGAGTCGTGCTTCTCCTCAGGCTTCTCGTGCTCGTAGTGCTTATGCGCCTTCTTTCCGAAGTGAAGATGGTAGAACTTGTTAAGAGCCTCTTGGAAATGTCCCTTCAGAATCTCTTTGACCTCTTCCTCGGACTTCTTGTAACCACCATGCACGGAAGCAGACCTCTTATCATGCTCGTGCTCATGCTCATGCTCGTACTTAGGTCCATATTTGTACTTGTGCCCGTGCTCTTTCTCATGTTTGTACTTGTCCTCTTCGGAGTGATACTGGTGCTCAGGATCATCCTTGTGCTTGTACTTGTGCTCGTGCTTCTTGTTGACCTCTTCTAAAAGCTTCTTGTGCTTCTCGGCCTCGAGCTCACTCTGAGATGCCTTTTCCTTCTTGGAAGTATTAATGTGAGTACGAGAGTGATCGGACTTTTCCTTGTAGTAGACAGAAACTGGATCCTTGTGCTCAATTGATCGCTTGTGGTGGCCATAGTCGTACTCATGGCTGTAGTGATGCTTATGAGGATCATGGTGGTGGTGACCGTGGTGGCCATCGTGATGACCATAGTGGTGAGGGTCGTGGTGACCATAATGGTGCTTGTGATGATCATGATGATGGCCGTCGTGATGATGCTTGTGATGATCGTGATGATCGTGATGATCATAACCATGGTGGTGTCCGTCGTGGTGACCATCATCCTTATAGTCGTAGTAAACGTGATGCTGCTTATAGTGGTAATGGTCGTCAAAGTGCTTGTGGCGGTGCTTGTGGACATGGTCATGAGCGTGGCTGTGGTTATGGCCATGATGATGTCCGTGATGGTGCTTATGTCCGTGACCATGGTGCTTCTCTCCGTCATCCTCAAGCAAGCCACGCGCATGGTGGTGGTGGTACCCATCATGGTGCTCGCCGTGGTGGTGCTTGTGACCCTCGTCGTGACCGTGGTGATGGTTGTGGTGCTCAACATGATGATGGCCGTGATGCTCATTGTGGTGATGATTTCCATCATGGTGCTCATAGTGGTGGTGCTTTCCATCGTGATGTTCGCCATGGTGGTGCTTGTGAGGATCATGGTGGAGACCATCGTGGTGACCATGGTGATGACCGGGATCGTCGCGGTGGTAGTGATAGCCGAAGTGCTTGAAGTAATCGTCCAAGAAAGCATTGAAGTCACGGTGGCTGCTAGGATCATAGTAGTGATGGAGCTTGTAGTGATCATAAGCATCGTGATGACCATGATGACCGTGGTGACCGTGATGATGTCCGGGATCGTGATGATCGTGGTGCTTGTGGCCATCGTGGTGGTCATGATGGTAATGTCCAGGATCGTGGTTCTTATGGTGGTCATGATGATCATGATGATCATATGAACGGGCATGATGCTTGTGATGGGGATCATGATGATGGTCCTTGTGATGAAGGTCATGATGATGCTTCTTATGGCGGTGATCATGATGATGATGCTCCTTGTGGAGGTGACCGTGGAGGTGACCGTGTCTGTGTCCATGACGATGAGCATGGTTGTGACCATGGTTATGGTGATGCTTGTGGTAATGCTCATGGTGGTGTTCCTTGTGCCTGTAGCGGCATTAGTACTGACAAATCGATTGGATGAAGCGGGGTGGGTACTTCTCTTCTTCCTCTTCGGCTTCAACCTCCTCCTCTTCCTCCTTCTTCTTCTTATACTTCTTCTCTTCCTCTTCCTGAGCTTCAGCCTCCTCCTCCTCCTCCTCCTTCTTCTTCTTGTACTTCTTCTTCTCTTCCTCGGCCTTTTCCTCTGCTTCTTCCTTGTTCTTCTTGTACTTCTTTTCTTCTTCAGATTCTTCGGCTTCGGCTTCGGCCTCTTCCTCTTCTTCCTTCTCCTCAATCAACTCGATCTTCTTGTGCTTGTACCTGAGTAATGTTAGGTGAAGTGGGACATGCTCATTAAGGGATTGACTTACTCCTTGCACTCAGCGCAAGTATAGCTGAGAACGAAGTACTTCTCGTTAATGTCAGGAGAGCGGCTGTAGAGCTCGTACTTCTTGTGCCCGTGGGAAATGGTAGCCTTGACCTTGATGTAAAGTCTCCAGCCTCCATTGTCCTCGAGGGGACAGAGGTCGCCGTAAGAGCCGCCATCCGAGAGGGAGAAAAAGGGGACCAAGCACTTGGCCTCCTTGTAGTCGTTCTTGGCCTTGCAGTGGTCGCTCTTCTTGTTGTACTTGAAAGAGTCCTCTGTGGGAGGCTGACCACGCTCGATGTAGACGGCTACATCTTCGTACTTGTAGTGATCGATATGCTTGAAGTTGAAGACGATGCCGTTGTCCTTGAAATCGAAGGAAACCTGAGTCAAGGCCTCGTGGGGGGCGCAATGAGATGTGCCGACACAGAGATCCCAGGAGTTGCCAGGCTTATAGTCGTTCTCAGGGAAGACAAATGTCGCAGGGTCGGGAACCCACTTGTGCTTGCCATCCTTTGAACATCCTTCAAGAGAGCGATGCTCTTCTTTACCGGATTCAATCTTGAAATGGGCAAGCGACTCGTGGGCTACAACCCCGAGGGCCCCGTTAAGGGCGTAAAAGAGGGACGTTCTCATCTCTTACACAGGACAGAGCGCAGAAATGAGAGGGTAACGAATGAGGTGAGAACTTGATCGGTTTGATGAGACTGATCACTGGAGATCCTCCATCTCTTTTGTACTTAGATTCATGTGACGTCTCATCTCACTTGCTGAATCTCACGTGTGGAAGGAGGAGGTTGGAAGCATGATGACGCCGCCTTCATGGCGGTATTCAGAGTTTCGAGGCTTCGGTGAGAAATATGTCAAACTTCAGAATGAGGAGATATTGTGTCGAAAGGGGCTTTGTGGATCGATGATGCCCCAGCAACGTTGCCAATGAAAGTGAGGGTGAGGAGAGGGGCTTCGACAACAAGCCGTTCTGATGTTTATCCAAGTTGATTAAATGAAGCAAGACCATGAATTGCCTCTAATTGTTTTCATGAGTTGCTTCAAATTCCACTGCTCAGCTGGACTCTATGAAATGTCCATGTCCGTGAATGAGCACCATGATAGTAATTGAGATACCAGAACAACCCCTTTACTGAGCTTTCCGCGACGTTGGGACGATATTCCAGCAGATTCACCTAGGAGTTCAGTTCCGAGGAGGAGAATGAGGCTTTTGTGGCATATAGCCAAGATGTAGGTGAATATCCATCGCGCCATTCGACGAGTACCACATCGTATGGCCTCCGCGTTGCTCAGGAACAGTAAATCGGTTCCCTAGGCTCTCTATCCCAGTCCAAGTCCCAGTCCCCGTCTCTTCGTGTAGATGTGCAAGTTCCATGCCTCCTAGAATTCGCAACTTGATGGAAGATTGCATGTGAAAATGTAACATGAAGTGATCCAGAGGCTATGCTGAGCAGGTTTGCGTGATTGATGATGATAGGTCGTAGTCAAATGACGAGGTCGGTCCGTCTCCAAAGCTGGCTGCAGGATGCATCTCGTCTTGCGAAAAAGAAGTCCAATAGTTGTTTGACGATGCTGAAGAAAGAAGTTGTCGATGATATCGAAGGACTTTTTGCGTTGGTTCCTGAGGCCCAGATTGAGGAGTAACTTTGTTGGGAAAACTTCGATAGGTCGAAACAAGGGAAATAGGCAGGAACGGAGATAACCTAACGAATTCCTCATGTAGAAACCAGCTGCATTTACATTAAACGAGATCAGACGATGGAATACGAAATTTAAGCGTCCTGCAGGTTTGCGATAAGCTTTAAGCTTAAACGAGTGCCGAGGCTTATTGTCATTGGGTTTGAGGGCGAATCGACGATCCATTGTTTTCCCCATGGGGTCTTCCTTAATCTTGTGATTCCATAGTAAACAATAGGACAATAGTTGCGAAGAACAATACTAGGGGGGAAAGCCTTGTTGATGTTTATGGTTAGTTTCATAGGAGGCCTCATTCTGGACGGAATTGGTAGCATTCACAAGTAACGGTCTGAGCTCTAGATCAACAAACGTATTCAATAGTTGGGTGAGGTATGGAGGAAGAGGTGCGATCAATACGTGTACGAATGTTCGCAACGGTAGTGTGTAACGTTATCCGGAGATGAGCACCCATGATTTCATTGAATGAGCAGAAATGGCATATTCAAACATCAGATATATTAACAAGAGAAATGTTTTATATACAAGATTTCAGAAGTGAACATTCAAAGAAACAGTTGAAAGCTATGTGCCATGAAATGTCTATCTTAAACTATCCAACCGTGAGGCTTTTCAAGCCATAAAATCTACTACCACACGAAACTCGCGATGCCCTCACTTTTCGCCTCGGCACTCTTCCATATGTCTGTAATATCTAGAATATCTATCAATTCAATCGCATATCCTTCAATAATGAACAATATTGAAATGCATCAGTGTATTTAACTTATACACTGTTCAGTTCCATCCGAGAGCGAACATGTCGCTGTGTACTTAGCACTCTCCATTTGACACTGGCAGTGGCAGCGTCCAGCCTGATTCACCAGGAACATTGTTTGTAAAATATTTACTCATCCATAGTCTTAATATCATCTTATTTCCTTCAAACTTCCTTTCATCTATCTCTTCATTCTCCATCATCAGTCATAACAACATCTCATTGTTGATCATCACCATCTCACTGTCTATCAACCATAACCATCTTGCAACTCTTTTGTATTATCACGACCTACCAAGACAAGTCAGCATGAAGGTAGCTGTCATCGGCGGTGGTCCAGCTGGACTAGCTACCCTTAGATTCCTTGCTCACGCCCACGAGTACTTCCCCATTCCTCCTATCGAGGTCCGACTCTTTGAAGCTGAGTCCCATATCGGAGGCACTTTCTCCTATCGCGTCTACGAAGACGCTGAGGCAAGTCATCACCCCTTTACTTTAATGAAAACGTATGCTAATCATATCATAGCTCGTCTCTTCAAAGTATCTGACTGCTTTCTCCGACTTTCGTCTTCCAGACAATGCCCCCGACTTCGTTACCCCTGAAGTCTACGTCCAGTATCTCAAGGACTACGCCACCAACTTCGCCCTCTGGCCTATGATCGAGCGTAACACAAAGGCTGACAAAGTTCGTCGTGGACCTAACAACATTGGCCATGTCATCTCTCTGCGCAACAAGCGTGGTGCCTTTGATTGGGAGTGTGATGCCGTTGCTGTCTGCAGTGGAATCAACGTCAACCCAGTCATGCCCTACATCGAGGGTATCGAACGAGTTCCCACGATCCTTCACTCATCCCATCTGAAGTCTCGAGATCAGTTTGGTGAAAACACTAATGTGTACATCATGGGTGCTGGTGAGACCGGTATGGATCTTGCGTATCTCGCTGTCACTTCTGGCGCAAAGACTGTAACTATCTGCCATCGTGATGGATTCTTTTGTGCACCTAGGGTATGTTATCACAACAATCTTGTAAGTATAAGCTAACAATTCACAGATCATCCCTGTTCCCCAAGCCTTGGGACGTCCTTCACCCACTGCCAATAAGCCTGTCGACACCTCTGTCGCCAGCTTGTTCGACACAGCCTATGTGCATCCAAAGCTCCAGAGGAGCCAGCTTCTCTGGACTTACTATGACAGCTGGATCAAGAATATGCATAAGTTCATCTCAGGCACTGAAGAGGGTCCTGATCAGTGGGTTGGCCAGATGAGCCCAACTCGCAAGTACATGGATTCAAGTAAGTATCCCCCCCTTTCCATGATTAAGAGATATAATAGCTAACATATGAATAGTTCTCCTCTGCAAGTCCGACAAGGCTCTGCCATACATGAACGTCGGCAAGCGATCCCAGTCATGGGGCAACCGTATTCGATCTTTCTTCATGAATGTCAAGATTGAAGACACTAAGGGCAAGAAGATCGACGTGATGACCTGGCCCATGAGCATTGATCGAGATGGCTGCATGCAGTTCGACAACAAGCTTCCGAGTGATTCGATCCTCCCAAAGGAGCAGCTCAAGCCAGATGTCTTGGTCTTTGCGACTGGCTACACTCGAGATTTCCCTTTCCTGGACAACGAGTACCCAACTGTCTCTCAGACCAACATTCGAGAGATTTACAAAGAAGGAGATGTGACTCTTGGCTACATTGGATTTGTCCGCCCTTCTATTGGGGCAATCCCACCTCTCGCCGAGCTACAGGCTCAGCTGTGGGTTCTTCACCTGCTCCAGCACCAGTACCCTAAGGAGGTACCTGCTGTCCGTGACTCCAATGCCCTCGAGTCCTACGATCTCGACTATCGTCTTCACCCACGAGGTAACTACAGTTTCTATGAAACCAAGCGAGCTGTTGACCATGAGAGCTATGCTTACCAGCTCGCTCTTGATATCGGTTCTGCACCCAAGGCCCTTTCGGTCATGAAGAAAGGTTGGAAGGTGTTCTACACCTGGGCCATGGGATCCAACTTCAACACCAAGTTCCGAATGGTCGGCCCCTGGAAGTGGGAGCAGGGCGCTGAGAACATCATGCGAAACGAGTTGTACAACATCGTCAAGCGCTCCGACGGCTTTGTCTGTAAGTATTCCCTCATGCCCCCTTATCTGAAACATATAACTGATTTCATAGATCTTGCGACCTACACTCTTGTACCTCTTATTCTTTTCGGAAGCATGAGCTTGGTCCTCTATGCTTGGTACGCTATCTGCGACTTTTTCGCCTCTCTTTTTGGTGGACACTCTGGATCTGCCACGAACGACCGGAGCGCCCATGACGACCGAATTGCGTGAGTGGACATTGACATCAAATTTTGACTTTGAGTATGAAGCCACGAGAGGTTTTGAGCACATGGAAGGATAGACTTTGTGCATTTTGCGATGCTGACTTACACCGAATATGAGAGGTTGGTTTGAGTCTTGCAAGTCGTTATTGGTTTTCTGTGGACTAGCGAAACCCGTTAGTACTACGGAGTAGTTCTTCTGTAGAAGAAACTAATAGACAGATGAGTGACTTGTGATTTTTGGCGATTGCAGCAGATGCAGCTGCTTAGGCAGTTTCATGCTACTCAGTACCTTCAATTCAGTGTGCATTTTTAAAATAATTGCCATTTAACGTGAATTTCCATTCTATAAGTTTCTCGTGAGAATAAGCCTCATAAACTGGTCTAAAGGCTTCCTAAAATATACTAAACTTACCTAAATCTTTTTATTACTTATAGACAAGAGGTCCTACCATAGTAAGTTTTCTTGCCTCCCCTTGCTGCCGAGATCTCGGTGAAGATCGGAGTGTGGGGGCCGTGGCGGGGCTCACCGAGGTGAGGCTGGCTTACCTTAGTTTTTTCTTCTTTTCAAGAATCGCAAATCACACTCGCTCCAACAAACACAATGGACAAGGAGACGGTACAGCCCAATTCATGGGTAGCCCTACGGCTTCCCAATGAGACATATCGTGTATTACAGGTCGTACCAAATACGTAAGCCAATTATCTTTTCCCCACCCTCTGCACGACTAATTTGCGACAGGACAATCTCGCTGGGCAAGTATGGCTCATTCCCAACAAATCTGATCATCAACCGTCCGTACCACTTCACATACGAGGTCCAAGACAAGCGCGAAGGCGAGACATTTGCGCGTCTCCGCATCGTATCCGCTAAAGAGCTCAATGCCGACGACTTGGCCGACACCAGCGCCGAAGCGACAGAACCAGCCGAGGGAGACGATGTTGTTGCAGCTGCAGATGGAGAGGAGCTCACCCTCGTTGACGAGAGCGGAAAGGTTCTCATCCGATCGAATCGCGAGATCATCGACGACTCGGCCCGACAGACACTCAAGCCGGAAGAGATTGAGGAGCTCAAGCGCAAGGGCGCATCGGCAGGCAAGGAGCTCATCGCCAAGCTACTGCTGTCGCATACGGCTATTGACCAAAAGACGGCGTATTCTCTGGCCAAGTATAAGCTCCTCAAGACGAAAAAGTATATTCGACGGTTTACGGTGTTACCCCTTGACGTGCCGATGCTAGCGCAATGGTTGCTGGAGGATCGCGATGCTTCAAAGATTTTGGAGATGAGGCAGGAGATGATGGCGCTGGTCGGTTGCTGGGCTGATGTTCACTATGGCGGTGTTCCTACCGAGGATGCTGGTGCTTCACAGGGCGGGAGGTGGTTGGTGGTGGATGATACGGGTGGCTTGCTGGTGGCATCTTTGGCTGAGAGGATGGACATTCTGCATCCCAAGCCTGAGGAGGAGAACACGGAAGATCCCACTGCACCAGAAGTCACAGAAACCAACACTGCCCCTACAGACGAAATGGACCAAGACCAGCCCCAGACAACAGAAGCAACAGACCCCGAACAAAAGCAGGAGAAGAAGCGATCTTCTAAGCGAAGCGACTTCAACGTCCCCTACGTCAACAAGAACACCCTTACCCTGATCCACGGCCAGACCCAGCCCAACCTCGCCCTCCTACGATACTTCAACTACGACGCCGCAAACGCCAACCCCTCTCCACCCTACCACCCCCTCGACACCAACCTCATGGATATTTCATGGCTGCAGCTGCTTTCCCCCGAGGAAGACGACGCATACAACAACAAGCCACCCGAGGCAACACCAGAGGAAATTGCGACATGGAAGACGAATCGTAGAGGGAATTATCACCGCAAGAGAAGAAGGTGGGCGCGTATTCGGCATGTGGTCGACACAACACGCGCTGGAGGGTTTTCAGGTCTCGCAGTTGCAAGCACCATGGATCCCATCTCTATTGTTCGCAGTACAGTTCCTTTACTAGCCGGTGGCGCCCCCATCGCGATTTACTCTCCCACCATCGAGCCCCTGACGCAACTAGCCGATTGCTTCAGTGTGGCGCGTCGAGCCGCATGGGTATCATCGCCTCCACCAGAGGTCGAAAGCAAAACAGCTGAAGAGCTTGAGCGCTGGGAGGGCAGCGAAGAGTTCCCCATCAACCCTACGCTTCTGCTCGGAGTGACTATCCAGACTAGCAGGGCACGACGATGGCAGGTTCTTCCCGGAAGGACACATCCTTTCATGATGGGTCGTGGAGGTGCAGATGGATTCTTATTGACAGCGTGGAGGGCGGTGCCTGTTGAAGGTAAAATCGAGGCGAGAGGAAGGTTTAAGAGGAGAAAGCTAGAAACCTGAGTTGAAGAGAGGTTTTGGATCAGGGATGTCTTGATAGCGTACGTATAAGTAATCATCTAACTGGAGCATGTGCAAGTTGATACCGCCATCTCGTCCAGTTCACAAACCCATTTGATATGTGTCAAGCATTTTGGGCTTCTTTTGGTTGACCTTCTAAGCCTTTACTGGCATCTATTTACTGCTTATTCCTTCGGAGCCAACAAGGCAATATATATGCCAGTGGTAAACTTGTATAGATGAATCACAATATTTGTTGAAGTTGTTACACGATGAACCTCTTGTTCATATCAATAAAGAAACAATCTTGTTGAATAACAATGCGATGCCGTCGCCCAACCCAATCTCATACTGCCATGTACACCAGGAGCTCTGATATGTGTGCCTTTAGTTCCCTCCATTCGGGCGCCACTGGATCATCTTTATGGGTATCCTCCCACTCACTCTCATCCACATCCAACTGCAATGTCAAATAGCACGTCCCATATGAAGGGAAATAAGATTGATATCGAGGTCCTGCTTTATCTTCTCATTTCTTTTGTCCATTCTTTGACGGGTGATGGCACGTTTGGCCATGGCCATATGGAATTCCGCCTTAGGAACCTGCTCCTAGTTATCCTTTTCAAATTCAATACCCAATAATCCCAGATTCGAGGCTATCCGGAGTATTTTCGAAAGAGATTCAAGATTGTCGAAATTCCGATAGGGGTAGAGAAAGCGCAGAGTGACCAGGGCTACCAGTGGGAGCTCGCAGAACTTCGTTACAGCTTTCAACCGATCATCATAATGCTTATAGGCCAACGCCCAAGAAGCAGGGGGGTTCTCGCCAACGCCAACTTCCTGCCAAGTCATCAGCTCTGGTGCTTGAGGAAGACACTTGGTGTTGAAAATGTTCAGCTTGATTTGAACTGTTGGCGTGATGGGGGCAAAGCGCGGTCTAAAAAGGGTCGAATTTATAATATCAGTAAATCGGCCCAATGACTCAGGTGAATCGAAAATGAACTGCACTCCTTGTAGGAGTTGCTGTTGCTGGAAATTGGTGTGCTTGGCGGATATGATTTGGAACGGAATGGCATGTCCGTTCTCTGGTACAGCGACTTTGAGCATGCCGAGCTTTGTTTTACTTGTATAGCCTTCTTCATCTTTCTCCAAACAATAACTTCTATGCTTCTCGTACATCTCCTCAACATTATTGTGGAGTCCGAACCCGAATACATAAGAACTGGATGGTTCCGGCAATGTCGTTAAGCCTTCAGGCGTCATCCCAGAGACTACCGCTCCAGGGGGCGCATTCTCATATGCTTGGCAGAGATTCCTGCGTTAGGGTGCGCATCATTGTAATTGCGTGCTGTGGCAGAAGGTGTTGTAATAGAGGGTATTGCTATGCATTCTAATGTCGTGGTGGGCGTATCTGACCGTTCACGTCGGCCTTGCTCGTGGTTCTCAGTGGCAGTTTTTGCAGCCTACTCGAGTAATTAGATATACAGACGCGTTGATGAACAGAATGACTTACAGAGAAACCCAATTTATCAGGCGGCTTCCTGTTCTTTCGTTTAGGCCATCGAGGAAGGTACATGTTATTGGAGAGTTGTGATATCTCGATGGGCCACGAGGAAGCGGTGTCGAGAATCGTCAGTCGTAAATGAGAAGATAGCAAATGGAGATGAACATTGCAATGATGAGACTGTCGAACACAATGGAAACTGTTGCATAATCTTGAAACTAATGCAAGAATGAAGTAGAAATGCCTATCAAAAAGCGAAGGAGAAGTAAGTGGAAAGGGGCTTCAGGGTAACAAAAGCATCACTCGGTCTTGCTTCCCAAGCTCTACAACATCAATCCTGAGAATCACTAGGACAATGACACCGGAGAGTAGGCAGCGAATCGATTTAATAGTGAAGCATTAGCCGTTAAAGCACTCTCAGTTTCATGTATATAAATTGTTCCAACTCCTGTTTGTTATTCTTCTCCTATCCTCTCCTCTCCTCTAACCAGTTCCAGCATAAAATGTAAGTGAACTCGTCTTGTTTATATCCCAACCTTTCCTTCCATCAGTCTGATTTCAAGCCCGAGTCACAACGATACATGTAAAGTTCTATCCGGAGGCGTTGTCCGGGATTCAGCCTTAGGTTAGGAAGCATTATCATAGTCATTACTCCTGGATGAAAGACCGTAGAGATCTGAAAGAACTTCTTGGTTTCAGATACCCACTGTCGGCAACAAGATAAAGGGGCAACGATGACACATGGAACTCGCCCCATGCGATACTTCAATGTCATAATAGAAAACGCTTATAGAGTCTTGCCGAGGCCACATCAGGAGGCCCCCCGAGGATCATCCATTTGAATAGAGATTTCATAGACCACAAAGTCTTGGCAACTGCATCCTGTTGATGCAGTTGGTGAGAGACATCCGGTCTGAAACCAGGGATGTTATTAACTAGTTTTATATGAGATTTTGCTGGCTGAAGCCAATTTTCGGCTGTCCGGAACGTAGTGGGAGACGTTTCTTTGATGATGTGACTTAATCCTCTTCCTGTCCTGGGTGCTCATCTTGGTAGACCAAGGCTTCCTTCCTCTGGTTCGATGGCATCATTCTCGACACAACACATCATACGTTCTTCGTGTAATGTGTGGCTATTGCAATGCCATGAGGGACGTGAAATGGACTTTTCCTATTATAGTAACACTTGAAATGCAAATATGCAATGAATCCAGCCACCATACGAATGCCTCGTGAGAATAACAAGGGTCAGGTTTGCTATCGGAAAAGTCACTCTCAGATCGTCTCAGGTGTTGACTGTGTTCGAGATGATGAATAATGTGCGCAGATATCGGAGTCGAAGACTGTGATAGAACAGATCAAGGTACAGAGGTTCGGGCTGGATGGTGGCTGCTGTGCGGTATTGCAGCCATTCGTCATAAAAGAAGTCCTTGACTGGGTCAGATATATCTATTCCCATTTCAGAGGAGTTTAAAATGTCATCTACTAAGATAACCTGGATGCTCTTTTGTATTTTACCAAGGCGTAAATGGTTGCAGACTTTCGGGAGCTTTCATGATGATGGGGGCAGGGAGAACAAGGGTGACAGAAGTATGATAAAGAGTTCCAGGTTCGTTCATTGATTTTGTAAAGACACAATGACGTCATCATCATCGTCAGAGGTAGGAAGGCCCTGTTCCAGGACATCTTCAATCGTACAATGATATGCGTGCGTAGATACCGTAAACTTCTCTGCATGTTGTTGAATATCCTTCGAAATATATACAGAATTTGAATTGTTTTCTTCTGTTCTGAACTTTCTCATGAAAGAAGAGCCCTTGTATGAAATGATCTTGTTCACTGACCCTTTTGTTCAGGGCAGTAACATGCACGTGCCGCCGTTCATATCCTTCTCACAGTTCACCTATGACTGAAGGCTGCAAAGACCTGAGGAGAGAGTGCTTCTGGCGGTCCAAACCTGCAAATAGTTCTAGCATATCCCGGCCAAGTTTGGTGAGACGTGTCTGGGGAACAGTGGTGGATGCTGTAGTTCATGAATCCAAACGTAACCAGTTCGAGTCGCTGTCCACCAGGCTCATGAATCTGGGTCGACTTTGATAAACTGTTTTTTTTTTCTCTTCTTCCACCCTTTGCTCTTCTTCAGGGCGCGGAACTTCTCGTCAACATATGCCTTGGAGTGGCTGTTAGGCCACATGTGGGCTCGGTCGATAGCTCCCACGGTAGGGGACATCATATCTATATCCCAGACATTTGTGGAGGCTAGGGATATCCGCTGTAAAGCATTACTGTTCGGCTGTCAGTGCATGGATGCACGAGCAACCGGTCCGGGTCGCTGTCCACTAGACTCGTGAATCTGGGTCGACCTTCATGACCTCTGCTTAGTCTCTACCGTGTGATATTGAAAGACAATTATGTTTTGACCACAAGATTTGACCTCGTTGAAGTATGCGGCCGGAGTGTTGTGACCTTGAGCATGAGAGTTAAAGATTCTGTGCTGTGGTTAGTGGCTATAGGACTTCGTGCAACGATCGACTTACCGTGTGGAAGGACAGTGATATTGAGACGCTGCAGAGATAGTATATAAAGTTATAAAGTAAGAATAAGATGGCCAAAATCGGTAGGTGAAGAGTTAAGGTTCCTTGTAAAGGATGACATCGTGGTTTCTAAGAAGATGTCATCACAAGCGACAAGGAGAACAGGGGAGCAGTTCGAGCATCACAGGGCGCACAATTCGCGGCATTGCTCGTTGGTCAGTATCTCTGCGTCATACAGTGATAGTAAGTGATTTGGGAGTTCTCTTTTCATGGAAGAGCACGATCGAGGAGGGTTGTCGGAGACTGGCCATGTTAGTTACGTCAGGCCCTTTGGCGTTCTTTGTGTCGCCCCATGATTCAATTATCTAGAGGCAGCGCTCGCCACGGTGAGTATGTGGCTGGCCATATACGCCCGAGGTGGTAGTAGTCAACTACCGTAGTGACTTTGCATTCTTGTGGTGTTTCCTGCTAAGCACTGAGATTGATTATCTCCAGGGGCACGACTATTCTGTCTGGCGGACACCCACATGATGGGCGTTGTTGTACGCTCTAGTCCCGACTTGAACGGACGTTGGCGATGTTGCCCTGATGTGGGTGAGTTGCTCTAATACGATAATAAGGCAAAATATTGCTGTATTTTGGTTGGAATCACGTTGTACGTTCCCTGAATGCTTGGAGAGGCTTCCTTGTATATGAAGACTTTACTATGGCGAGACCAAATAAATGTCTTGTTTTCCATGAGCAATTTGAAAGAGAACGGAGCGCTTCCCTGTCGTCTCTGAGTTCCTCTAGCTAGGTCAGGATCTCAGGTGTGAGTCTCAAAGTGAATGAGTATATATATAAGGTCTGAGATTATGTTGTGGCAGGAAACTCTGTCTCATCATCGGGGGATGTGGGAGAATTTATAGTCAAGAGGGAGGCCTTTGATTCTTTCTGTTTACCCAGTATGAGGTCATTCAACAATTGATTGTTCAAGCAAGGCTAGAGGTAAATACGCTGCCTAAACAATCACATGTGTTATCTTGGAAACCGGACAATAGCACGGATGTTGGCAAACAGACCCATACAAACGTGATGCCCCTGATTGTCAATGGCATGACAAAGGAGCAGTGCCAAATAGCAAAGGCCCTCAATCTCAAGCCATAAAACACGTGGTTCCATTTATGGTAATTTTTGGCAAGTTAGGTAACTTTATGATGGATTATTTTATGGTAAGTTTGGCAGCCTTTTTAAGTGTTGTATTTTGCCGCATGATGGAACGATCTCAAGTGTTCTGACACTCCAAGAATTGAGAAACACACAGCGATAGGTCAAGTAAGTACTGAAAATGTATTTTGTATGACGCCAGCTCCTCGATTCGGTGATAGTCTTCTAAAATGTGTTTCCTCGACCCATCTTGCTAATACCCTACAGAGACTTGCCCATAAACTTTCTCTTGGTAAAGCTCAACCACCACTTGCTAGGCTTAGTCTCGTCCTCATCATATACCCTAGCAAGTAATCGAGAAGCAAGCTCCTGTCGAACCTGCGACATATATTGCTTAAGCTGCTCCGCTTCTTGTCGGTCCCTAGGGGGCTCGTACATCTACAATCAAACATTAGCAAACCGGCCAATTTGTCGTGCTGTTCGAGTTTGGCAAACAAACCTGGTTAAGGGGCCATGCAGGGTCTCCGGGGATAGCAAAGTTAAGGTCAAGAGCCAAGTTTAAAACATCCTTCTGGGCATCACGCAGAGAAGCCTGAGGTCGGATCTTTGTCAGACAATCGCTGACAAACCAGATTCCATACACGAGCAGACGGTCGGCAGGGCCTTGGATCTCAAAGTTTCGGAAGAATGTGTTGGCACGGAAGAGGGCGAGGACCTCGTCGAGGATATCGTAGCTCTCGCTGTCGGGGTCGGGAGACTCGTTGGCCGGCAGAGGCGGCGAGGGGTTGGGGAGGGTGTAGGCAGGGCCTCTGGTCTTGGTACGGAGAGGGAGGAGAGGGAAATTGCCGATTATGCGGGGGATGTTGGGATCATTGTTGAAAACGGAGTTGTATGCCTGGAGAGTGTTGTTAGTTTGGTTGATATCGTGAGATGCGGTGATGCAATAGGAGATGGTGGAGTGTGTTTGTATAGTTTATTTGTGAAGTATGGGTGTTTGGTTTGGACATACCGGCATCTTGAACAGCAATTAACAGACCAATTCCAGTATATCAAAGCTGCTTGGGAGGGAAATGGACAAATCGGCGCAAGTTACGGGCTGATGCTGAGTTGCGCTTCGTCACCGGCGGGGCTACACCAAGCTCACGAAGCTCACTCGATTGGTGTGGGGCAAGGCTGGGAGCAGAGCGAAGTTGATGCCTTAATCGGTGGATCATCAATCAGGCCACAACGATGATGTGGCGCAGCACCAAGGTACCGCCTCTCTTTATGGCTGCCTAGAGCCAGGATGGCTCCTCACGTGAACTCGTTGCTCATTCGCGCCGATTAGCTCCGCGACGAATCACGGTGGCGACGCGCTTTTTCCCTCGTCCCGCGTGCAGATTCTTCCTGGCGCAGATGCAGGTCGTATCCACTAACAACTCATACCTAAGAGTGAAAGAAGCCTTGCCTTGGTTTCACGCCCTAAGTGTGATTCATTCAGTGTCACCGATATTTCCTCCTTCTCCCCCCTCCTTCACCTTCTTTTTCTTTTTCACTGTCCCTCTTACAAAAAAGAAGACTCTACTTTTTACAAAGTTGCCTTGTTCTTCTTGTTGCTCATTTCCTATTGGACGCTAAAACTCCCCTTTTTTTACTTTTTCCGTCAATCCTTTTTGACAAGGGCGACGCTCGTGCCAGACGCTAGCGGAGAGCTTGTCACTGCAAAAGACTGGAGATAAACAGGGAATCATTAAGGGCGCGTCGCAGAACCAAGGCCTTACAACAAAGACTGGAGAGAAACATCCGGCTTCAGGCAACCAACAAACGCTGAAAGAGTTATCCAAAGGGAGGCAAATACAGATCGACTATTCATTCATCGGATGCTTGCATTTGAGTAAGTTTGCGCTATTCTTCTGTTCTTTTCCCTCTGACATCAACGATATCCTCCCCAACAATCCATTTACACCCAGCGCTAATCGATCCTCCTTCGCGACAGTTCTTTGTTTGGAAACGGCAGCTTCATCGGACAGCTGCGCAGTTTGGTGGATATGGCGACTTCACAATCTTCTACCTCTTCGACTTCGCCGTCGCGCAACGGTAACGGTAACGGTGTATCACTGGACACAACGCCCTGCACTTCACAAGCGCCCATTGTCGCCCCGCGAAAAAGGCGCCCGCAGCGCATCTACCGGCCCGCAAAGAACTCGCTCTACGACATCTTTCAGCAACACGCCGGCACATCGCTCTTTGTGCGACCCATTTGTTGGACAGATTTACACGCTCAGCTGCTCGGTGCGAGATGGGAGGAACTGCCGCCTTGCGATACACCTCAGCCTTCAGCGGCCCCAGGCACGCCACCATCGCGAGGACATCTGAGCCCATCGAATACCATCATCAGCCTTAGCAACGCGCTCACGCAGATTCTCCTGCCCGATCCATTGCATCCCATCCTATCCTCCAACGCTGTCAAGTCGGTTCTCAACACGCTGTGGCCTACACCTTTCAACAAGCCCCAGTACCTGCCCGAACTCCATCTATATTTTGGCGGTCGCGTTTACCGTGACGCTGTACGCGCGCAGCTTATGTGGAACTACCCTTCTGAGGAGGCAAAGTCTTCATACTCTTCATTCAAATCAGTTTCGACGCGACCCGCTGAATCCTTCAACATCTCAACACAGTCCTCGCCAAACTACAGCCCCGCCAATTTACCCATGATCTGTTACATTGGCAAGACTCAATTGGCTTCAGTCCGAAACAACCTTTTTCGCGTCGCTTCTGGACCTGGAAGGACATGGAACGAACCCGTGTTTCGCCTCCAGCAACTGCGCGCTCGCATCCTCGTACCTTCAAATTCCGATCACGATGCTCATTTTGTGGGCGTCTTTCTAGGGATGGCGCAGAAGCACTTCTACCCTACCCCACCTATCAGTGGCAGACGCGACTCGCGCATTTCACCAGGACAGGGCATTCCTCCAAGCCCTAACTTTCACGACATCAAGTTGAAGATTCTCACGCACGACATTGATACATCCGAGTTTATTGTTTACACTGGTCACATCACAAAGGAGTTCTTGGAGAAGTTCCACGATCCCTTCAAGGCTCCAGCTGACGATGACGATGCTATTGTTTCTGGTCTCAGGATCGAATACACAAGAGTTCCTATCTGGCCGATTTTGGGACTCAGAGAGAGACTAGGCAAAGCTCTAGGTCAAGAGATTGTCGGAACCTTCAACCCAGATGAGATCGAGACATGGGAGAAAGATCCCGAGAAACCAACTGGCGAGAAGCGCAAGCGCGATGTCCTCACCGAGGTCGTCAGCAGTAGCTACGAGGAAGAGACCGAGGAAGAGCCAGCAATCGTTTCAAAGAAACGCTGTCTAAACGAGGGTACACCTGTGGGCGTGGTGATGTGAAAGCAAGCTACATGCAGTGTATGATATGAAACTGAGACGGGATGGATATACCCCACGGTTTAATTTTGAGGGCAACAGGACGCATTCGGTATACACAATACATTTGGCTGGGCTGGACTGTCTTTGGGATTGCATGAAGACTCAATCTGCCTCACAGGCACGCATGACATGGACAATGGCGCAGGGTTATAAGATAGTTGACGGCGCAAGGTTATCTGGGCATTAGGGTATGTATGAGCAACAAACAGCATTTGGCTTTGGGGTCTGGTTATGAATTGAGCTTTCAGAGGGACTGAAGTGAGGGATAGGTTTAGGACATGTACATATGCCTTTCTTGTGGTTTTGATCTTTCTAGCGAGATGGTCTGCGTTTAATCACGAATTCAATGACATTTCTTGAGCATTGTCCTTGACGCTTTGATCTCAATTGCTTTTTGGGTTGTTCGCGGGGTAGAGCATTTCTGACCATTAGCAGGCTCGACACACGTTCGTCAACTTCAAGGCCATCTCTCACAAGGAACTAGTTGTCAAAGAGAAACACATGTCTATTCAATCTATTGCTAAATCAACGGACGACGTCCGAACCTCGGAATGCTGCACGACTACACCATCTTTTCTACTCTGCTTACAAGAAAGCGGAGATATTTGAGTTTTCCCCAGACCTTGATCCGAACTTGCACCTGCATATCTTTAGTGCTCTTTAAGGGACAGCATCGTGAGAGCTTCCTATTTCGAACACCGGAAGAGCGGAGAGTGGTTGTGCGTGTGATGGATCAGCGATTGTTAGTCGAGTCTAATAATCTCCAGGTATTGGGATGCGTGATCGCAAATACTACCATTTCAATACTGGCCTGGTTATACCTTGTCTTTGGATAAGGCTGAGTTGGGCTGGGTTGGGTTTGGGCTTTTACCCGGTAATTAACAAGGTTTTTTGTTTCTACCGCTTAATTTGTTTCAATGGTAACCTTTGAAAGGCTGGGGTTGTTATGTGTGATGACGTTCTTGATGCGAATGTGAGAACAGGGGATATCGGATCTATACGCGGGATACAAATGTCAGATAGTGAATAGATTACCCAAAAAAGACATTAATCCCTCATAAGAACAATAACATCCTCGTATTAATTAGTTACAGACCGACATTTCTAATCCTCCCCGCAATTCTTGTTGCTGTATTCCCCGGACTTGAGGGGTCACCAGGGCCCGAACTACGGCAGACAAGGATCTCGGGGTCCGGGGTATGAACTCTTTTCGACTTACACCAAATGCCAATACCGATGCCATCTTTGATCAACTGCGGTATCGTCCTTCCCCACCATCATCTATTCTGTCGTTCCTCCGGTACCACCATCTTTTTTTTTTCCTTCTTCTCTCACATCTCCACCAACCACAGCAAACACACTATCACAAAAACCATCCAGCTGATCGTCGATCCCACCCCCTCTCCACGTGGATTGCAGGGACAACTTTCTGCCTCGGTCTTGTAGAGTCAGACAAGAAGAAAACTTGGAAAACATACCAAGATCTTCTGGTCTGGCAGCTGATTTCCCCACGGGGAAGCGGGGACTGTCTTCGGCTCAGGAACTTCTTTCGGGCTGATACAGCTGCTATGCACTCGTTGAATACGGCGATGGCTTCCTCTTCTGGGGGAGATGCCTTTGAGGAAAGATGCAAGTTCAACGTCGACGTCGAACCAGGGTTGAGAGAGATAAACTCAATACCTTGTGGAATATGTCAAAGCGGGAGGGGAGGAGCGCGGTGTTGCTCGAGGTTCAAATTGAGCTCATTTCCCGGATGAAAAAAGGATCAGCAATTCAACTGAGACAGCGGGATCATTGTCTGTTGACTCGTTGTTTTGACGCTTGAAAGACTTAAACTTTGCTGTGTACGGCTCTCTCCGTGGTGGTTTAGTTCAGACTTTTGTTCCAACTACCACTCTTACAACTTGAGCTCTCAGTCTTACAGTTGAGCTTCACAATGAAGTTTCAAAGTCTTCTTTCTGGCTTCGGTCTTCTTACGGCTGTGGTAGCTGTTCCAGCTCCTTTCCCTGCACCAGATGCAATTCCGGATCTTCAACCTGCTGAGCCGGCCACACCAGCTCTGGAAGAACGAGCAGCCAAAGTCACAGTCGCTGTTCCCTCTGGAACTGTCATCGGCTCAAGTTCTGGAAAAGTTGATTCCTTCAGAGGAATTCCCTTTGCGGATCCACCGACGGGCTCTTTACGACTTAAACCGCCAAAGAAACTATCCAAGCCTCTAGGCAACTTTGATGCTTCAGGACTTGTTGGTCCGTCATGTCCTCAGATGTTTATCTCATCCGGTGCCCAAGACGTCATCTCCAAGTTTCTCTCAGACTTCCTGGCCATTCCCTTCCTTACTCCCATCACTGGTCAGGAGGATTGTCTTACCATGACTGTTCAACGACCGGCTGGCACTAAGGCTGGTGATAAACTTCCTGTGTTGTTCTGGATCTTTGGCGGTGGCTTTGAACTTGGTTCGAGCGCTATGTACGATGGAACTAGTCTCTTGGGTACTGCCATTGATCAGGACCAGCCGTTTATCTATGTTGCTGTCAACTACCGCGTCGCTGGCTTCGGATTCATGCCAGGTGCCGAGATCAAGAAGGATGGAAGTTCGAACTTGGGTCTTCTTGACCAGCGCATGGGTCTTCAGTGGGTTGCCGATAACATTGCTTCCTTCGGTGGTGATCCTGATAAGGTCACCATCTGGGGCGAATCTGCCGGTGCCATCTCAGTGCTTGATCAGATGGTTCTCTACGGTGGTGATGCCGATTACAATGGCAAGCCCCTTTTCCGCGGCGCCATCATGAACTCTGGCAGTGTTGCCCCCGCGGAGCCTGTGGATAGTGACAAGGCGCAAGCTATCTACGACGCAGTAGTGAAATCGGGCGGATGTTCTGGATCTTCTGATACCCTCGCTTGTCTCCGTGGTCTGAGTTACGACAAGTTCTTGAACGCAGCAAACTCTGTTCCGGGACTCTTGTCATACAACTCCCTTGCTCTGTCATACCTCCCCCGCCCAGACGGTACAGTTCTTCCTGATAGCCCAGAAGCACTCATCGCATCAGGTCGTTACCACGCTGTTCCCATGATCAACGGCAACCAAGAAGACGAAGGCACTCTCTTTGCTCTCTTCCAGCCAAACTTGACCACGACAGCCAAGTTCGTCGATTACCTTCAGCAACTCTACTTCCAAAAAGCTACCAAGGAGCAATTGACCGCTCTGGTGAACACATATCCCACCGCTCTCAGCGCAGGAAGTCCTTTCCGAACATCCCTCCTCAACGAAGTCTTCCCCATGTTCAAGCGCCGCGCTGCCATCTTCGGCGACTTGGTCTTCTCTCTTACCCGCCGAATCTTTCTCCAAACAGCATCTGAGCAGAATCCCGACGTTCCAGCATGGTCTTACCTCGCGAGTTACAACTACGGCACACCAATTCTCGGCACGATGCACGGTTCTGATCTGCTACAAGTCTTCTTTGGTATCTGGCCGAACAACGCTATGCGCAGTATCAGGACGTATTATTTCAACTTTGTGTATAACTTGGATCCCAACAAGGGTGTTACTAAGTATGCGAATTGGCCAGAGTGGAAGGATAGTAAGAAGCTTATGTGGTTTGAGACGGCGAATAAGAACAGTATCATTGATGATAACTTCAGGACGGCGCAATATGATTGGATTTCGAACAATGTGGAGGTTTTGAAGGTGTAATTAAGGACATAGTTATGAATTAATGCATATGCTTTTGCTTGTTCAAAGATGAGAATGCCCGCATATCACTCACTATCCAGTGACTGATTGTAGTTGTGTACATCTCCTAAGACTGCCCGAGAGTTGAGGAGTTTACACCATCCAGCTCTATCCTCACTGTTGTCTATAATGTTCCGAAAGCCCGGCCTGTCATCTTGAAGTCTATTCAGAAAGATGGAAAGGCCCAATACCTCCTTATCCAGTCCATCAAAGACATGCTCCAATCAAGCTCTGCTCTAAAGCTTTGCCATTTTCATGATCTTTAAGGACATGAATTCTAGTTGTAAGGATATTTTTTCTTGACTCAGCTATTGCTCGTCAATTTGAGACCTTGAGTCATTGTCCTTCTCATGTCTACTGGCCTCCTCTTGTCTCATGGTCTTCATCACCTACCGAGCCACTGTCTCCTGCGTCAGTCACTCATCTATTGGTACGTCGGCAGCTGGAGATGTTCGTTGGCAGGCCAGCTAAGTCCCAATGACTAGCATAAGCTGTCTTAGCATTGATCTTGAGTTTTCTCTGACTGGAGCCTCTGACTCTATCCAGAGGATGTATGCATATGTTGTCGAAGCATTTCTTCACTGTTCACCCAAAAGTGAAAAGTTGGAAAAGAGTCACAGTCAACACCGCACGCACCTCGTTATAACAGGCCTCAAAAGGAATCACGTTCCACTCAACGCAGCATCATGAGGTGAGAAACCGTCACGAATGCTAGAAAGGAACAATTTCCCGCCAAGTTTGATGTCAAAAATGCAAAAGAAAGGGTCTGGCCGGGGATTGAACCCGGGACCTCTCGCAAGCTATGCTGTAGGGTTTTCCCTAAGCGAGAATCATACCACTAGACCACCAGACCGATCAAGGTTCCGAAGAACCTGCTGTGGAATCGTTGAGATTGAGTTCAGAGTTTGGTACTATATTGTACATTCTCCAACTTTCGGTCTGAATCCTCGATTCAGGCCAAATCATCAACATCGTCATGGTAATGGATAAGTGACACCAGAAGCCAAGTTGACTTACTTTGGGCAGAAGCTGTTAAATCTGCATCTTTGAACATAGTGGAGATGTGCCGTTTCAGTTGCGTCAATGTCGTTTTCGGGTCCTAACAGAAACTGTTCAGCGGTTCCAAACGATTCGAGCCAAACTTTCAAGAGTCTCAACGGTCGTCATATTTCAATGGTATTTAACTTTTATTACAAACATGCTTCCAACATCATAGTTTACACAGTCAAGCATATCCATGAGCGCTGAGCCACTCCTTGAGCTTCTCAGAGTCACGCTCGCGGTACGCAGCACGTCCACGGATCTTATCCTTGACAGTCTCCAGAGTTCGGTTGAAGCTGCTGGTATCCTTGTCGGCCATAAACTTCTCAATCTCGTCAACAGCAGACACATTGGTGAAGCTGCCAAGACTGAGCTTCATGTATCGGTCGACAACAACAGGGTTGCCAAGCTTGGTGATGACGGCATCCCAGTTGTCCTGCATGAACTGCCATTGCAAAGGACGGCCAATGACGTTGCTAGCGACAGAGCCACCGAGAACGTGCATGTCTCCGGCAGGGACGGCGTTGGAGGGAGGAGACTCGTTGAAGTTGAAGGGAATGACCTCCTTGGTCAGGAGCTCAGCATCCTTGACAGTGCCAAGAACACTGAGGGAAAGAAGCTTGCCGTCGATAGACTTGGTGTTGAACCACTCCTTCTTGAGAATCTCAACAGTTCGGGCAGGCTCCTTCATGATAGCAGCGCGCCAGATGGCAACACGGAGAGGAGCGGGGATGGATCCAGCTTCGGGGTTCTCGACCCAAATGTTGAAGCGCTTCAGGGCCTCCTCAGTCACACTACTCATGTTAGTCCAGTCAAGCTACGGATACAAGAAACTTACGCAGGGTGGCCGCAGGCAACAGCAACACCAATGATCTCCTTTCGCAAGATACCGGTGAGGTAGTCCTCGCCTTCAGGGAACTCCCAGCCAACCTCCTTGACCTTCTCATCAATGAGCTTCAGTGTGAACTTATCCAGAGCCTTCTTGATAGACTCGTCCTCTCCAAAAACGGACTTGACACCACCAATGGAGTCAAGAACCTGGCGCCAGACCAGAGTGTGGTTCTCCTTGCCGAATCCCTCGAGGAAGGTCAGCAGAGCAGGGGTGGTGCCGTTGCCAGCAAAGGCAAGGTCGGCGGTGGAACCAATGATAGAGATCTTGTCCTCGGTGCTGAGCTTGTCTAGCTGATTGCTAAGCTTGGCGAGGCGCTCAGGGGGGTAGTTGACGCGGTAGAAACCAGTGGCACCGCTGTTCAGCTTGTAGAAGTCCTCGTCGACATCACGGATGGTATCCTCCTTGGTGGTAAGAGACAGAGAGGCGATACCGGCGTGGTCCTTCTTGCCCTCGAGGCCGAGAGGAACCCACCAAGTAGTGGTGTCATCCTCAGGCTTAACATCACCAGTAGACAGGAATCGGGACTGCTTGACAGAGATCTGACCACGCTCCTCAGCAACGGTAAGGACAGGGTGACCAATCTTGGAGATCCAAGGGTGCATAAGCTCAGTGACATTCTTGCCAGAGGCCTCGCCAAGAGCGTTCCAGAGAGCTGTAGTCTTAGCGTTTCCATAGGCGTGAGCCTTCAGGTAGTTAGAAACACCCTTGAGGAAAGTCTCGACACCAAGGTGGTTGGCAAGCATGCGGATGGCAGAGCAACCCTTAAGGTAGCTGATGGAGTCGAAAATCTGGTTAACATCAAGAGCATCTCGGACAGGAACGTGGATAGGGTGACTGGCACGGATACCATCCAGACGGAAAGCAGCCTCCATACCCTCGTTGACAAACTGAGCCCAGACTTGCCAGTCAGGGTGCAGGTGGTCAACAGCGTGCCAGCCGACCCAGGTAGCGAAACCCTCATTGAGCCAGAGCTCATCCCACCAGTCCATGGTGACAAGGTTGCCGAACCACTGGTGAGCAAGCTCGTGAGCGACGACATAGGCGACAGCGTTCTTGAATCGAGGATCAGAGGTCTTTTCATCGTAGAGAACCTGGGTAGTACGGTAGGTGACGAGACCCCAGTTCTCCATAGCGCCGTGAGTGAACTCGTGAACAGCAATCAAATCGGACTTGGGCAGAGGGTAGTCAATGTCGAAGATCTCGGAAAAGAAGTCAATGATCTTGGGGGCGTGCTCGAGAGCCCACTGACCCTGCTCCTTGAGACCACGAGTGGTGTAGACACGGACAGGAATCTGCTTGCCGTCGTACTTGCGGTCGGTGAAAGCCTCGATGTACTCAAAGTCACCGACAGCCCAGGCCAGTAGGTAAGTGCTCATGACAGGAGAGGTCTCGAATGATACAATGTTCCAGCCATCCTTGGAAGGTCGAGTCTCCTTGACAGGCATGTTGCTCAGAGCAACCTGGTCGGAAGGAATCTCAATCTCGAAATCGAAAGTGGCCTTGAGGTTGGGCTCGTCGAAGCAAGGGAAAGCTCGGCGAGCATCGCAAGCCTCGAACTGTGTGCTGAACATATAGTGCCATTCACCATCGCTGGGAACCGAAGCAGAAGGAGTCTCGGCAGGCTTGTACTTGCTGCGGTAGAAACCAGCCATCTCATTGTTGATGATACCCTCGAACTCGATGATCAGGGAAGCCTTGGAAGCGACAGGAAGCTCCTCGTCAAAGGTGATGGTAGAGCGTTGAGCCTTGGGGTCATAGTTGAACTTTGTAGATTCGAATGTCTTGGAGTCGACGGAGACCTTGGCGTGAGAGAGCTTGAGTTCGAGAGTGTTGACGATGATTTCCTTGGTGGGCTTTGTGATTTCCGAGTCGATACTGTAGAGCAGTCAGAGCTAGCTTCACGATGAGGGGTAGAGGCGACGTGACGTACGAAACGGTTCCCTTATAAGTCCAGTTGGTGAACTCGAGATCCCTCAAGGAGAGGTCATAGTGCTTAGGCTTGACATTGTCAGGGAGAACATCGCGGTCAGTCATTGTTTCGTTGCGGGCGAGTCTGGCGTGGGCGGAACAAGCTCGATCAGAGATCTTGGGAACAAGACTGTTTGTGGTGTTAGCAAGCTATAGCTCTGAGCTTTAGCTTAGCGAGTCTCGAGTGGACGGGCTGTTCACAAGAACAATGGGGTATAATGAGAATAGATGAGAAATTGAAGGGAACAGATGATGTGAGAGTGGAACAGACGGCAAGATATAGCTTAACAAAAGGGCAATGGACTAGGCAGAGCAAACAAGAGCGTGATGATGCGTTGCCGTGTAGGACCCCGCGGTTAGTGGGGTGTGGGCCGGTTTCCGTTAAGATCCCAGCTGCCCCTCTCTCCATTCTCTGTCTCGAATGGAGGAGACGGGAAGTCTATTATGGAAGGGATAACGTACCTCCGAATACCGATTGGCATAGGCCGTCCATTATCACGGCGACTATTCAACGGCTTCGCTTGACCATTTACAAGTGAAGCAAGTCCTCTCGAGAAGATACCACAGTTGACAATTCCTTGAGAAACAGATACAGAGGGTGCCGTCTGCCGTGTAATCACCGATAGTGGGCTACAGTTGCTCCACAGACGTAGAGGCAGAGGCAGATGTCGCAAAAGGCCCTTTGAGGACGACATTTTGGCCCGGATCCTCACCCTTTTCAGGAGTGATGCGCCGTCGCAATTGGGCAGGTCGTTGATAGGTGAACTCTTGCGGGATGCCAATGATATCCTCTTTTAGCAACTGAGAGCCCCCATTGATGGCACTTTTGTAGCGTAGCTGCCCCCAGTATCGTATCAGTATTAAAAGAGTGTCGATGCTATGTCGAAATTTTCGGGTCAAGGTAAAGCTCAGGGCCGTTTGGTATGCCGTATTGCCGGCGACAAGCGAGATGCCGAGCCGTGTGTATTGTGTCATGACAATTATTTGCACTGTACATCATGAGATAGGGTAACTCGTGGTGATTCAAGAGGAGCGGGCGTAACCACGATGATATCGAGTCGGCTACTAAATACGGAGATCATTTCAATGAACAACACAAAGTCTACGTCACCAAAAGTGGATTTATGGGCTTGGGATATGAAGCAAACTGGGAGAGGATCAAGGACAACAGAGCTTGCCTTCATTGTGACCTCAAAGAACTTGGGGTAAACTTATGATGGAATATCCTAAAAATTTACAAGACTTCTTTATTTTTGTGCTTTCTTAGTCAATCTTCAGGGCAAATATCCTTATTGCTCAGACACAACGATACCCAAGTCATGATGGTCACAAGTCCAGTTGTCAGAATGCTTGCTGTTGCTTTCTCGTGATTCAATTCAGAAATCAGATATAGTTTATGCTTCTAGCGCTCAGTTGAAATGACATTCTATCCATTATTCCAGCGAAAAAGCAATTTGCCGATCCCATAAGCTACCCATCAACACTGCCACACTTCTTTGAAGGGGCAAGCTTGATCCAATCCCACCAAGTGAGCCATATTGGCTTTCCACACCAGTACGCCATGCAACCCAAGTTCAAAAGCGCTTCCCAGTAAAAGCAAACCCATTCCTGCCTGATTGAAAAGATCAAATGCTAACCTCCAAATACCATGCATCCTTGTTGCTCATCATGCATAATCCCTATCAAAACAATCCAACCCATTACATCTAAGCCGACATCTCTTCTTGCTCAACCTTTGTTGCTACGGCATCCCACCAAGGCCCATGGGCTGCTCTGTCAACCGTTCCAATCTTCTCTAGTAAGTTCGATATCTCTCTAACTCGATCAACAAACTCAGAGAGTCCGAGACTGGCTAGCTTCTCGCCAGCCGTGTTGGCCGCCTTGACCTTCTCACTTGCTGATCCAGCAGCGAGGCGGGCAAGAATGTTGCTACGAAGACGGGTGAGCAAAAGTCGCAAGACAGGTTCTCTAGGCTCGTTTCCGTTCTGTGCCATGTCTTGACTGGCAGTCAGAACCTTAGTAACAAGAGCGCGGAGGTGGCTCTTGGTCGCCGTCGGCATCGATCTTCCAGATTCGAGGGCAGCCATGACGCCGTCCACAGTAGCTTGGAGAGGATGACCCGCCTCGAGAACCGCCATGATGCGTGATGCTTCCATCTTCCACGAAGACCGAACATCCCGCTTCAGGAGGTTTTTGCACTGCAACAGAACAGCGCCGGCGGTAATGACTCGCTGAATAGTGGTAGAGACTTGGCCGATGCGATTGTAATCTAGTCGAAGCATCTCTGGAACCTCCTCAATGGGTGGGGGAGAGATCCTGGTAAAGATGTCTACGAGCATCTGTGCATAGAACTTTCCAGCATTCGGTCGCGACCTCGGATGGTTGATTCCCTCTGGGTCCCTCTTCTGAACTTCTGCAAGAACCTTTGCTCGGGAAGCCTTCCATGTCGCCTCAGCTGCTGCAAGGCCAAGCTGACCTTTCTCAACATCCTCGGCGAACCTCTTAGCCTCATATGGCGCCGCGGATTGGATAAGCTGAGGTGCAGCACTTCGCAAAAGATAGTTGATGTAGTCGCAGAGCATCACATCAATGAACCCGTTGAGGGCTTCAACTCGATCGATAATGTCGCCGTCTGCCAGTTTGTTCTGGATCAAGTCCTGAACCTCTTCATCGCGAAAAGGGGCACAGAGTTTGGGCAGAAGTGACGACATGGCAGTAAAGAACTTCTCATATGAGAAGTTGCCGAGGGCGAATTGCCGCTCTGCCATCTCGGGGTCTAGAATTTCACCGATCAGGTTATACATGGAGTTGCCCGGCTTGAGCAAACGCTGGAGCCTTTCCTTAATGTAGCTTGCGATAAGAGCAAAAACCTGGAAATTGATCCCACTATCGTCATCTCTCATAGTGGTCCGCATCTGCATATATATAAATTTCGAACGTTCTGATTGCTGTTCTCTGTATTCGTCAGGCGAGAGCTGATATTCCTTGTTGATAGCCAACTCATGCACCACAATCCTGTTATTAGGCAACAGACCATTGAGGCCGGTCTTGGGCGCAGGAGCCTTCTCCTGGGCTTTGCTGGCCGGTGTTGCAGGAGGAGTCAGTGTTTGCGACTCGGATGAGACCAGACTGTTGGCTGCCTCAGATGCTTCTCCGGGTGCGTTCTCAGCCACACGGGGCTTTGTGTCTCCGATCTTCTTCTTGGTAGAGCGAGCTTTGCGGGCTTCGGCAACCGCGTCAAATATCATCTTTTTGCCCTTTTCTGCACCTGCTAGTTTCTTGATCCGCACTATGAGCATCAACTGGTTGTCTTGGATGCTCTTCTTGTAAAGAGCCGTGGCAGCATCGTCAGTTGTGTCCTTGACGGTGTGATAGATTGCGTCAAGCTCAACAAACTGCATGAGCATAACCTCAATCAAGGCATTAGAATCTCGGGATTTCCAGGCGATGAAAGCATTGTAGAAAGTGGCATACGCCTCAGGAAGAGTCTTCTTGAGTGCAGGTGGCATGGTGTACTTGTTGGCGGATGTCAAGCGAGACAGGATATTCTCAAAAGAAATGAGCAAGTCTCGCGCCTTGCCTACCAAGTCCTGCAATTGAGGATTGGCAAGATCCGTAGAGGGCAGTCGGTGAGAAGTGAGTACATCGACGTCTTCGTCGCCATTGTCGTTCTTGTTGCTGAGAACTTGATTGGGATGACCAAGGATCAAGAAGGCACTGAGAAACGTGCGAACAGCTGTCATCTCGCCAACCGAACCAGTTTCACCCTCCTCGAGACCACATAGTCTAAGCAACTGTGCCGTAATAACAAGGACCCGCTCCTGGGCCAGGAGCTCAACGACAGTATCGAAGTGTGTATCTCTGATGCCATCCACAGTCAAGCCGAGGTTGTTGAACTCGGAGATGGCTCTCTTTCGGAGGCAGCCACGCCACCACCACTGGATGCTTCTTGCGGCTTCCTCTTCGGTGGGCTTGCGTCTCTCTTGCTCAACATCGGGCATGGGGTCTGTGGGCTTCCTGGCCATAATACTCTGCCCGCGACTCCGCTTAGACGCGTTCTTGGTACGTAGTTCCTCCCTTCGTCTTTCTGCCTCAGCCATTCGCTCCTCGATCTGAGCCTTCAATCGGGAAATGTCCTGCTCTCGCTTCTCCTTCATAAATTCGGCAACCTGCTTTGCCTTCTTAACCTCGTCCGCACAATTGGCGACAATCTCTGCCAAATTGCGCTCCCTGGCCTGCTGTGCCGCTATGGCTCGCTCCTCCGATAGTGAAGTATCTCGATGAGTCGCTTTAGCCAGGGCCGCTCGAAGGCGAACCTTTTCGGCATGCGCCGCTCGATCGGCAAGTCGCGCCCTGCGGTCCTCAAGAAAAGAGGCGCGGCGAAGATGTTGAGCGACATGCTTGCTCTGTTCACCTCCACGGTGACTTGATGGTTGAATAGAAGAGCATCGCGAGTGGGCAGACGAGATTGAGTTGCGGCGCGACGAGGCAGCCGAATCTCTGCGACGAGCCTGCGTTGGGCGATAGAAGCGAGCGGCAATGTGGGGAGGTGGTGTATAAATTCTCGAGTCGTCATCTAGGACATCGTCTTCCTCATCGGGAGGAGGCATGGAGAGATCTAGTGTATCTTCCATTTCGTGGTCCGAGGGCGCACCGTTGGACTCCTCGATATTGCGCGGCGGCTCCGCGAGGTCGTGGGAGAGGCGGCGCATCGTGTCGGCGGCTGATGGCAGATGTGACATGGCCACCGCTGAATGGTTGTGTTGTGAAGTTACCAAAGAATAAATCAATGGTAAAAGTAAAGTCAATCCCAGCGCGGGAGATTCGTCTTGTCGACGCCCAAACGGGGGAGGCCGGTTTGAGGTCAGGCTGGGCGCTGAAAGCGTAAAGTAGAGTCGAGAGACTAGGAGCGTTTCGTCAGGGCAACTCTGGTGGCGCAGTGGGATCCGTGGGTGGTTCTGAATCAGCAGCAAAAGGCTAAAACGGGGAAGTCTCAAATCCGCTAAACGAGCCCACCAAAGAATGGATGAAGGGTTGAAATGAGAGACTGCGCAACAAGTCGCGATGAAAGCGTATAATAAATAAGGCGCAGATGGGTAGAAACGAGGGGAATGCGGGGGACAGAATATAAGTATTGCACAAGCCGTTTATTAAACGCTTACAGAAGCGTCAGGCTATTGTGAATAAAGATAAGATGGAAAGAGAAAAGAATGGAAGTGAGTGAGGTTGGAGGAGGGAAAACAGTAGAAGACACTAAGTGCCAGGTGAAGGCGGGGGAGTCAAGCCAATGAAGTGTAATTCCTTATCGTTGGACTCGCACTTTCCCGTTGTTGCAGTTGCAGTTGCATATGCAGTTGGTGGCTTCCAAGTGCCGCTCTTTCCACTGCTTGCGACGACGAAAGGGAAGGCACCCGTTCAAGGACGATGAGATGGATGCATGCGCCGCGACTACCTTAAAGGGATATGTACAGAGTGGGAGGGGAGGGGAGTGGGGGGTGAACAAGAAGGAGGGAAGGTTCCAGTTTCGAGTACCAAAAAGCATGGGTGTTTTTTCTTCTTCTTTTGTTGTTATTCCATGGAGAACCCTTTTTTTCCTTGGAACATTGTGAAACTTTGACGCCCCGGCTTCGTGGACAGTGGACAATGGACAGGGCATGTATCGGAATCCCTGGGCTGGAGAGCCTGGGGTTGGGCCACTAAACTTCAGTGGACTCGCTCACTGGCTTACAGCAAGTCCACGATAGCGAGTCGAGTTTCGTTAGGTCAGCTTATAAGATGAGCTCTAATCCATTCCAAAGAACCCACCAGAACCACGTCTCCACGATTATCAATCACATCAATTCTGCAAATCAACTAACCTTATCCGTTTCCTCTTCTACTGTTAGTCGACGATTACTGAAACGAGGCCCTTTCCCGCTGTACCGAAGCGCCCCCCCAGGCCCAGCCCGGTCATGCCCGTCTCGTCTCGTCTCATACCCCAGCCATGACATTTCTATCTTTGGTTTACCGAAAAGCCCATCCCCCCCAGATTCATGCATGTGTACTCGATGCGACGTCATCACACGTGTTTCCCCTCCCGTGACGCTTTCCGGAGCCAAGATTGCGATGGTGCATTGTGCCGTTCTGGGTGACTTGCTGCAATTGGGCCCAGATGCGCCTCGACATCTCGCGTGATAGATACAAGGACCAATTGGGAAATCGATATATTTGGAATAACAACATTCTCTATTGTTGTTGTATTGATGGGCTAACATAGCTCCACGATAATATGTGATATATCCAGACGTGGCTCCATATCCTCAGGACCATAGTATAAGTTATTTTACTACAAATTAACTTAACCTATTCTGTTATCATACATCTCACATAAACGAATCTCTCGCAATGGTAATCGCACACGCAATGTAGCCTTTCATGACCCTACTATGCAAGTCCAATGATTCCAAGGTTGCTCCGTTCCCCTTCCATCATACCTTTTTGTTCTACTATACAGAAAACCCTAAGAACCAATCCTACTCATAGTAAGTATCAAACCAAGGTCCCCCTTAACGTTGATTTTTTATAATGTCTCTTTCGTAAGCATTGCATGCTCGCTGTGCTAGCCTCCTTATAGAATCATACGCAGCTGTACCATTAAACGCCTGTACCATCCATCCAGTTTCCGTTTGTTGCATTATTCCATGTGTCATATGCAAGTGTGCTCCATAATAACCGTTACTTATTCGTGATGCATCCTGGTTCTAGTGGCGAAGGCTGCCACTTCGTAGTCGTCCGTTTGGAGCGCTTGACGCTCGCTCGTTCATCCTCGTTACCCATTCGAGGACTGTCTCATAGCAGAGAACATACTGTCGCAGGCTCTGCACCATGCTGAGTCGTTGCTCTCGGAAATCCTCCACCGTCTTCTGGATAAGATCCACGCTATCGTCGTATAACCAGTCAACGTTGATGTTTGCGCCGCCTCGAGCTACCTTTCGCTCCATGTTGGATCTTTGACCAGGGGTAAAAAAGTTAAAGTGCTTGGTAGACCGGGGTGACATGTCCCCGTTCTCGCCCATGTTGACATCTCCGTCATGATCACGAGATCGTACCGAATCCATCTTGGCCTGTCGCTGACGCTTCAACATATCAATAACACTGTCGACAGTGCAGAATGTCCCAGTACGACCACATCCAGCGGAACAGTGTACCAGCATTGGTCGTGCTCGAGAATCGGCCTCGGGCTCATCGTACCATGTAATTGGAAGTGACTCAAGTGACGTAATCTTGGATCCCACCACCGAAGAAGTCTCAACAGGGAGGGCAGAACGTTGCATGACATTGGCCAGCTCAACCAGCGCCAACAGGTGCGATGGCTGTGCAGGTGTACCAAAGTCAGGCCATGACGGAAAGTGCAAATGAGTAATCTCTCGAATGGGCGCAAAAGGATGAGCGGTATGAGAGAGTGCAAACTTGCGGACGATTACGTAGGGGGTCTCTGCGGGGCCTTGAGTTGGTCTCGGTGTAGGTGTCGAAGACTCGAATGTTGTCGTGGTGTTTGCGCGCTTGCGTCCCTGTTCGCTGGCCGAAGCCGATGGCGTGTGATGGGAGTCGGACCTATGCTTGTCGATGTCAAGAGACACCTTCTTTTCGGACAGAAGCTTCAGTCTAATGGCTCCAAAGTCTCTGCCCTTCCAGTAAGGATGACACTTGAGCTGCCCGCCTTCAGACTCTGCAGTCAACATGACGACTACACGCACATCTTGCTGCCAAATGACAGACCAAAAGTCCTGAATAGACGTTAGTCAATTTTCGCATAGTGTAAGTGGCTTACAAACATACCTCGAAAGTGGCGGGGAGCGGTCCCTGAGTGGCGATGTACTGCTTGTTGCTTCGGGAAGCTTTGAGATGGCTTGCGTTGATGTAATCACATGAACCTTCAGGCTTCTCTTGCAACTTCACTCGAGCATGCTCGAAAGGCAAGATATCTTTGTATCGATTCTTGACTCCCTTCTCAACACCACAGAGCTGCACCTGGCTCCGCTTATCCTTGTTCTGAGGGTTGAAAGCCGCATATGCCGCCTTCATACGAGATTGCTCATCAACCTCGATATGCAAGAACTTGTCCGAAACCTTCTTTCCGTGGTCAGGCTTCGCGGCGGCCTCTCGTAGCCAGCGCGGGAGAGAGGGTGAGTCAAGGGCTGAAGGTCGTGATACATCCAATTGGCCAACACCATCAGCCAAGTCCATATTCTGGCGAATGTTGGAGAAGAACGGGTTGACGTCATTGCTGGCATTGGGAAGCATGACTCCGCCGATGACAGGTGCAATTCCTCCATGACCAGGACCGGGTTTTCCAGGAGATCCAGTTGCCGATTGGTGATCGACCATGTCGGGGAAGTTCTCCTGGAAAGAGTTGAAGCCACCCTTCAGGATACAGGTGCCACCAGTGTACCCCTCACTCGTGAACTTCTTGATCATGTTCTGAGCGGTAATAGCATCGCGCTTGTCAGAGGCGTGAGCATCATAAACAACGATGTAGTCAGTGTCCTGCCAAGTAGAGAACTTCTCCGAGTCAGAGCTAGTCTGGAAAGTCTGCTTGAGTTTCTGAATGTTGAAGGTGGCTCGCTTAAGAAGTGTAGTGGGTATGCAAAGGTTGAGAGCACCTTGAATTCTGGACTGTGCGTAGTTCTGTGATGATCGAAGGTCAAGAATAAGCAGTCTTTCCGGCTTCACACTCTGAAGAATATCCCGTAGTTGTTGGCCTGTGATCATGTGAGGCTGTCCAGGCTCCAGAGTTGCTGGTACTGTTGCAGAGCGTCTAATATCTCGAGCATCAGGAGGATCGGGGCGATGTTCCATTACAGATAGCCGAGGGTCGCGATCTTCAGATCGAGTTAGACTCGTTCTTTGCTGTGGAGGGTCCATTGGTAGCGGGGAGTCGAATCGGGGCATGTTTAGAGCTGGAACATGGCCGTAGAGAGATGATTCGGAGTTACGCTTGGAGTCTGATGACACATAGGCCGAGTCTCCTAGGCTATCCTGGTCCACATCCATTCGGCTGGCTGGTCGAACATTGGCAGAGCTCAAGCCACGGCCAAATGGCGATGGGCCGCCAGTGTCACTTCCATGGGTGTGCCATCTGGGAGGTCGAGGGCGCACAGGTGCAACTCCATTTGATGTCACTGACGTCTGAGCATAGTGACTGGTGGAGAGAGCAAACGACTTGCCCCGGTTGAAGTCAGCCTGTCTCTTGAAGGCCTCGAACTCGGGATTGGCATCAAGAGGGACCTGCTTGGGAATCGCAGCCTGGAAGGATTTTACTGATGATGAAGGGCTCCAATTCTCGTTAGGAAGCCCTGAGGAGGAATCTCCACGGTCATTGGCTGATTCGACGATGAGGCCAAAATAGTTAGGACTTGGTGATCTGTTGTCAGAGACCACGCGAGGCGAAAGCTTGGGCGGAGGGTGATTCTGGCCGACCGAGTATGGCATCCGGGGAGAGGCGAGAGGAGTCGATGATTTTGTTGGCTTAGTTGGTCGAAGTGTTTGAGAGTGAGAATGGGAGTGGTTGATGTTATACGAATTAGATCGTGAGTGGGAAATATTATTAGAATGAGACTGTCCGCCGGGAGAGTGTCGTGCAGGAGTCTTCATTGTATAGTGTAATGGCGTCCGGTCGCCAGTCCTGGAATCATGCATAGCGAAGGCGGTGATCGGGGTAGTCGACGTCATCTCTGGAGACGCAGGGGTAAAGAGAGGCTGAGCGAGGCTCATAAAGCCATGGTGAAGAGGTCGAGAATTAGATTAAGTGAGTGAGTGATGGATTGGGAAGAAGGGGACCTGGAGTTGGTTATATCGAGAATAGTAGCAGCAAGTCTAGCTTCAGCTAAATAAGGGTCTCGGGGGGCGAGGGGACCTAGGACCGAGAAGGGTGAGTGCGAGTGTAGTGTAGTTGTGGTGTAGTGCGGGAGTGAGTAAGGCAAGGCAAGGTAGATTAAGAAATGCAAATGCACCAGAGATAAAGATGAATGAATGGATGAACGAAGGCTACCCTCTTCCTTTAGGCTAGGCTAGGTCAAGAAGAGAAGCGGGCAGTTGGTGGGGTCTATCAATCCGATCCCTGGAAGACTTGGAAACAAGCCAAGAAGAAGGGGGGGTGAGGGGGCCCTGGGCTGGGGGTGTCACCACTGGTAGGGGTCAGGGGGTGATGGGCCTAAAACCTAGGGGAGGTCAGAGGCTGTGACAGTAAATTAGACGGTAGCCGAACTTCAGATTCGAAGGGTCCTGACGTACGTTACTGATGGTGCTCCAACCAACGAGCCCAGACTTTTAGTGCCAGTCGGTGTAGAAGAAGAAGTAAAGAGATGTGGTTGAGCTGAGAAGAGTTGAGAAGAGTTCAGGGAGCACAGCAGAAAAGGCGTGTTGTATTGCAGTAACACACGTACAGGGCGTTCACAAGAACAAATGCAGCCTGCAGTGCTCGAAATGGTGATGAACGGTGGCAACAAGTTTATGGGTACACACACTCACACACAACCAGTGGTTAAAAGAACGCCGTTACCGTCGGGGTCAGTGGGATGGCGACGGTGGCGTCTCGCGGACGATGACGTGCGGTGGAGAAAGGAGGATCAGAGAGGACAATCAACAGCCAAAATGGGTGATAGAACGGAAAGAAATATTTATTCTGGTTTGCCTTCTTAGATAATACTTATTAGACTTTAGAAATTCATAGACTATCCTGAACTCTCCTATATTAGAAATACTATGTAGCCGCTCGCTGTTCGCATCCGTGGCGTTCATAATGTCCGAGGATACAGGTTTGTAATCCAAACCTGCAGCTGTCAAGATGAATACGGTTCCCAGCTGTACGTACCCAAATCCTACCGTAACGTCCCTTGCAACCTACCGTATCGCCTGTCCTCGTGCGTCAGCGTTGCAAGTGGAGTGAGTCCTCTGTGGGGAGACGAGAAAACGGACGGTACAGAAAAGAAGCAAAGCAATCCTGCATCAGTCAAAACCTGGAAAACTCGCAGCCAAATCGTTCGATTATACGATAAGATAGAAGTTATCACCAGATTCTTGCCAGGGCTGAATGCAAGAAGGGACCTGTTTACCCTGAAACTCTAAAAGGCTGAAAAGAAAAGAAAAAGACATGAGGAAAAAAAAGTCACGAAGAGGCATATCGTTGCAGTAGCCTACCTAAGCTTTTTAGTCTGGTTACAGTCACCGACGTCGATCATGGCTACCGTACACCTGCATGTCAAAGTGCATAAACACTCCTAGACACTGACAACTCCAAAGGGTCTCACTTCTCCTGTGTCATTCTCTTGCTGAACCGACGATCTCATAGTGGCATGTTTCGACTAGAACTGTGTGGGTGGCGCAAAAGAGAGAAGAACCAACCAGTTGAATAGATACAAGCAGTTCTGGATAATACTGCAGAAACAGCTCCCGGTGAGAACGGTCGTTGGGGTTAGGGGTGGTCGCGTGTAGTAAAGATCATCCAAGCGAATGGACGCTTGCTTCTGCAGAAGGGGGGGAGGAAGAGACACTGGTCCGGAGAGAGTGTGTGTGGTTTTTTGTTTCTGGTGCTGTTCGTGCAGGTGGACAGAAGGACCCTTGAAGATCATTGAATTCGCAATTGTGCGCTTGTCCTTAACTGTTGAGATGTTTGGTTGATCTTTTGGTAGTTTCTGGCGGTGGAGGTTGAGGAGATTTCGTACAACCTGGCCAATAGTTCAGGACAATGAGGTTCAGTATAGCTTCAGGTGATAAACTCTGACAGGTACAATATAATTGATTCAAGGTATCAAACTCTTTCTATTAACAATGTAGTAGCAACTGCAGGTACTAGCCTAACTAGCCTGATAGAATAGGTATTATTGAAGCTTATTACCCAAGCTTCAATCACTACAAATGTCTTTCTCTCGTATTCTTACAACTCAGCACTATAATAAAGTTCATTCGAACATGCAGATTCCATCATCTCTTTCCCCTGTCCCACGATGATCCAGATCATTTTCATACTTTCATCCCCCGCTGATGTTCATCCTCCCCCTCTGTCTCAAATCGGTCACCGTCTCTCGAGTCTTCCCCCTGACTATATCGTCATTGCAGCGTCAAGGGTCCCCACCTGGAAAGAAATAATGGAACGGGCATGGGGGCGTGTATGCATCTGTTGGTCTGGCTTGAACCAACCAGAAATCCGCGTGGCGCCGTCGTCAACGTCACTGGTCCGCATCAGATTTTTGCTTCTTTTTCCAGTGTATCCATTGATTTATCTCCGCCATTTCGATCTCTGCCCATTTTGACATTTGCCAACCTCCGTCTGAAAAGGTCGATAGAGTCTAGAACGAATCTTTTGCGAATCACGGTTTGTTTTGTGCCTTCAGCTCTGGAGAATGTGTGTTTAGATCTCACGTCAACGGTCGTAAAGTCTGATGCCGAGTCTCGACCAGGTCTGTACGAAATTAAATGCTGCGGCATGACGTAGTTGATGAGACGTTGAGCAACCATCCCACTCACGCTCACCGTTTTGATACTGTTGTAACGTCTTGATAGCCCGCCCAGTAACGGAGTTTCAGCTGAAAAGCCATCCGCCCAAAGGCAAAAGCTGAATCGGAACCATGCCATATCCCGGCTTCGGCTAATGTCAAAAAAAGGCTGCCTCTCCGCTAAGCGATTTGATCTTGTGTCGATGATTTTGTTTCAAGGCTGTCTCGCTCATGCTCTCTCCCTTGTTGCGAGATGATTTCAGGGACCGCTGCTTAGACTAAGGCAAAGCTTGACACAAATATCAGAAACGTAATGCTCAATTATAAGCAGGGTGCTCGGGCTTATGCGAGGATTGTCTGGTGCATGTCACTCCGACGCCCTTGTCCGAGTCGCGGACGAAGCTATCCAGCTTATCGGTATTCCATATTCCACCGGCCGAAGCTTAACAAGCCTCGATTATCAACCAAGCCCTGCGAGAATACAGTAGCTGCCGTTTCCTTACGGTTCCTGATTAGGGCATCTAACGGACGCTAAGAGCACACCCTTGCAGATGGAAGCCTCAGACACCAGACATCTTTCTCACCGTCACGTCTTTGCTTCAATCCACATCGAAGGGCCTGGACCCTGAGATCATCCCCTCCATAACGGATAGATTTGTCAAATCAACGCTTCAACTAGGGTTGCACGCGAGTAGAGCAATTCATCAGCGGCGCTTGCGATTATTCTAAACAAAGACCCAACAGCATGGCCTCAATCTTGAAAGGACCAAGGCGAAAACAATCTCACTCAAGTCTTTGCAGACAAAATACTCTCAGAGTGGAACTGTTCGAGTAGGAATCGAAACTTTAATCGCTTACCGCTAGTTGTTCGCGGAAACATGGCGTTGATTTCCAACTTCAGCCAAGGCTGTGTGCCAGCGAGACGCCGCCTTACAGTACTAGCCTCATCGAAGCAAGGCGGACCCTTGAATTTCTGAGCTTTAGCATCTTGGGCGGGAGGGGCACGAGACTGACAACAAACTGTTGTTTTAGCCAGGAGATGCCTGACAGAACTAGATTTATCCCACTTTGACAGTTTGCCATGTTCAACAAACCTGCAGAATCGTTCCCACGGGAAATGGATATCGAAAGATCCACTGAAGTCTGACTGAGTCCCGAACGCCTTGTGCGCCTTGTGCAATAGAGGTCTATGCTACCTCAGTGACGTATGATGGACCGTTCTCGATGCTCAGGCTGTGCTTCAGCTGAGCAACAACGCACAAGCCAGTGTGTTCTAGACACAGGGTATGACATCGTCGACTTGCCATGAGCCTCTTTCTTATGGAAATTATCATTGTCGATAATCAGCTGTGGTTCTGTCTAGACATAGTATCCCTGCCGTCGATGCGTCCAGGCATGTCGATTATGCAAGACGGTGTTGACACGAAGCAGTTCGGTTTCTAAATAAGGCAGGAAGAATAACTGCAGTTTTAATTGATTACATGGCCTCTTTGGTAGCCACTCGGGTGGGATGTGGGAGTTGAGGGTTCTCTGTTCCGACTGGTTGAATAACCTCGAGATGGGTGGTACCCTGACCTTAGTCTTTGTTCTTCAAAATCAGGGAGGACAGAATCACTCCCAATGATATTGTTCTGCGGTTGATACTTTTCGTATATTTATGAGAGACGTCATGGTGGACTGTTGTGAATGATTTGTACCGTTTTGAGTGCTCAGTCCGAGTCCCAGTTGTCCAGCGTCATTCAAGCCAAAGCTATTGCAAAGCTATCCATTATAGGGACTGTTCCGATACTATGCTACGATTATACATTTGAGCTTGTATGTTTTCGGAGAATCTAGTCTATATCGTACACTTTGTTCCTGTCTGGTCCAGAGCTAATTCGGCCCGTCAGAGTCACTACATCACCGATGACCAACTGACTCGTAACCACCTACTCGACAGTCCGTCACAAGTACATCACCAAAAACACATACATATCAAGATCACGATTCAACCCCAAGCCCTCAATCCTCGATCCTCGATCCTTGTCACCGCCAGAGAATCAACTCATATCAAATGCCCAAACAGTCATCCTCATCTTGATCGCAAAATAAAAGCATCGGGCCTCACCGGTAGAGCTATCAGCTGACCAAAGCACTTATACCCGTGCGCTGGAAATACCTGTTTTTAATGGGAATACCAAGCTTCGATTGCTGTTCTAGACTCGAGCATGAATCTGTTTAGCGTGACACGCGACTCGAGCTCTTGAAACTCTGGCAGTTGTCGGGGCGCCCGAGCGGCGTCTGATAGAGCTCAAGTGGGACGGAACGACACGTCTTGATCGTTAGTTTGAACGTTTTGAAGGGTTAAAAACGCCGTGGCTGGTCACTGATATGTAGGGGGACTCATCAATAGTACAGCAAAACGAGGGAATGGTGGTTAGTCTCCATAGAATTCATGTAACTATATGCCTAACTATGAGTATATTTACATAACTTCAATGAGGATTAAGATCAGGGACCCAAACCTTGAACTTTATGGTCATAAACTAGCCGTAAGACGCCTAAACTCAACATCATATATGAAGCCTTCACGTCATATCATGTTTTGCATATCTCCAGGTTTTGTCATCTGAATGATCCCATCAGTTCCTGCTGAAAGCTGAAGGTCCGTGTTTTTGTTGTTGGCAATGTGAGCCCGAGTTCCTGAGCGATGGTTCAAGCATACTTCATATCCTCTTGGTCGACAAGTCACATCCGATATTGAGACTGAGCTGAAAGCTTGCTGACAAGCACTGCTTCCCTCATGAGTCGTCAAACCAACCACACAGTAATAAGCTCAAGCCACAAACACAGTAACTCACCTCCACCAACGACTCCAAAGTGCAAATCTGAAACATATCTCTAAAGCTGCCCCTCGCACCATGGCAACTACCTTTTCCCAGCATGACTCTTTAGCCAGGTCTCATCATCTGCTGACTTTTTTTTTTGCTTCCAACCTCGCTTTTCCCTGAAAATCGTACCTTGGCTAAACTAAGACTTACACGCGATCCATGTCTCAGATGTCAGCGGAGCGATGGCTCCGACGCAAGGGCATGCGACTACTGGGGAAAAGTCAATCGACCAGCTGATGCTATTCGAGACAATTCGCATGATGTTATGAGCTGTTTATCGTATTCACCGTATGCGGTTTCAGAAATCACCGTTTTGTTGATGCAAGGGCGAGCAAAAGTTGACTCTCATCCACCAACTGGTGCAACAAGAAAGCAATTCTTAGACCACATCATCATAAACCTACCAAATTTATCATAATCTAGGACCTAACCCTAAGCTTAGGCCTGGGTTGCATAAACTCATCATAAGGATATATGTGCACATTCCCCTTTTATTCTTGCATCCAGGTTCAGTGATGGGGTGACAACTTGGAGAGCTCAGTGTCAGTACTCGTAGGCGACTTTGCTTTGCCTCTCCCGATGATGCCTGTCGCTTCTCGTCGTTGACTCGACGGTGGCCAAACCAAAAGGATTATCTACTTGGCTCCTAGGTATTTGGGATTGGAAGCTGTGTTACTGAAGATACCAACAACGACCAAGCTACACACCAGCCTCGTCTGTGTTTCTAGGCGCTCGCAAGCTCTATCTGACACCCCTTCCATGGCCGATATGAGAATAGCCTTGTCGCTTTCATCCAAGGTGGACGAAATAATCATTGCTAGCTGCCCTGCTTGATTCTTCTCCTCAACCTGAGATACAGACTTCTTGAACATCGATAATGCTCGGCGTCGCTTATCAGGATCATGAATATCGGCAGTATACATTTACAACTATTCTCCCAATTTGATGTGTCTTCAAAGCTTCACCACCTTGTCAATTGAGAATCACTCACTCAACCCGGGGTGTATTAGTACTGAACGTAAGCTCTATTTACATGTCAGATCTAGCCGTTGAGTGACTGAACAGTGGTGCCGACTTGTTCATATGCTATTCAGGAAACATGCACCGTACATCCCGTCGCAAAATCCAAATCACTGCTATGCCTGCCATCCATTCTGCCGTCGTTATCGCCATCTTCCTCACTGTCGAATCAGGCGATGAGGTCGTTGGCGTTCATCTCTTTGTATCAGCTTTCGCAACTGGTACCATGTTTCTTTCTGCGAGATCAGAGTTACCTGATGAATAGTTAGTTCTTCGATTCAATCTTTTGATCGACATCTGGGATGCTAACGGAACCATTCGAGATTCGGCGAGTGCAGATGTTGATGTTGAAATCGAGGATATCGTCGGTTTCGGGGGGCACCGCATCATCTGTCTGATTCTTCTCTTCGACGTCTTCCGGCGTTCCCACAGTCAGCTCCTACGTTTTTGTTTCCTGGTGATGTTTCATGTGCTTCTTTTCATTTTCTCGCCTTGGGTCGCGGAAGGCTTCAGCCTTGGAACTCTTCTCAAGATGATCCCATTCACCCTCGTCCCAAAGTCCCTGAACAATACGGACTTCCTGTTCGACAAGCTCTTCTGTCTCTTTATGGGCCTCTCGGAGAGCAGCTGCAGTCACAGGAATTTGAAGTCTTCGTGGTCGCTTGGGCTGTGGAGATGCCTGAGACGCCTGCGTGCTTCCGTGCCGCTTCAGTCGTCCTCGGTATGGGAGTGTCACCCGGTTAGGAACTGTGTTCCCCTGTTCCAGTGGCTTTGGGGCTTCTACCTTCTGATCGGCGTCCAAGATTTCATCAATGTTGGGTGCAATGTTCTCGATGCTGTTATTCTTAGGGCGCGTGTTCAGCCCGGCCTCGTCTTTGGATGGGCTGGACATCGTAAAAGAGTCACGGACGATGATGTAGGTCAAATGGGATATTCGGTGGTAGGTTAAAGAATTAAAGGATGGTGGAGTGATGAAGGGGGATGAAGAATGCTTTCAATCTGTTGTTAGATTTATAACTCACACGGGAGAGAGATAGAGAGAGTCAGTGATTCAAGGAACGAAAGGGCGGTTATGTCAACACTGGTGCGCAGTGAATCATAGCCCTGCGTAAATTAGGTACCCAGGTACTAAAGAGTTTCTCTGTCAACGTCCCTGTGTTTTATGTCTATAGCTATTATCTATTATCTCTCGGTATCATTCTTGAATTCTAGGATCCATCTCTCTTCACATTCATCTCTCTCATGTATCGTCGACTTCTCCGTTGATCTTCCTATCACCTCCTGTGCATCTTCGACTGTGCCTACCTGGCAAGTCATGTCAGTATTCCTTCATTTACTTACTTGTATCACAATACCAACATCAGGCGCTGTCAAAAGACCATTTACAATACGAGAGCGACGCAGATACTACCACTAGAATTTCGATCTTATTCAGACGCACCAATACCATACTATTAGGAACCAATCTCACCTCACATATCTTTATATCCATGACTTCAAGCTGATGTTGTACGTCGTCCAGGAGCTCGCTTATGAGTCGAAACCCTCCTCCCCCCAGCATCGCGGCAACCTCACCATGCCGGGGACAAAGCACATGGCTTACGGCGATGGCGGTTGAACCAAGGGCGATCCGACCGACATGCAGTTTGAGACCATATGAAAGGGAGAAGGAAGTCCGAAACTGCTGCACAAAACTGCCGTGGCTGTTATTGAAAGCGCATGATATATACACATGCGACAGCCAAACCCATAAACGTTAGACAAGAGTTAGGATGTATATCCAGAGCTTAGGTTCTATCATCATAAACTCGCCATATGAAGCCCTAAACTCATCATAAGCCCTCATTCTAAGCGTGATATGCTATACTTCAAGTTTGAGTCGACGATATCTATCCACAAGTCTGTTCTTTAGATTGACGAGGTCACCGCACTGGATTCCCACCGAAGCAACTGTGCTCTTGTCGAGGAGAATCCTGAAGCTGACATGGATGACTTTGTGTTTGGAAGCAAACCAGGAAGAGAAGCGTATTCAACAGCTCTCAAGTTGGAACACAAAGGAGCCAAGTTCCAAGACACGGGCCAGTAAGATCAAGATCAGACAGACTTCATCAATGCTATGTCTGTCCCAAACATCGGCCTCTCAAAAGTCACATATGAACCCTGCCCGGTCAAACTCACCCAGAAACCAACCGGATTATTATGTGGTTATCATTCACATGTACTGACTTGTGATATATGCACAAACTTCACATATTAGAAAGATCATACTTGTGTCGCTTGAGATCGTTGTTTCCATTATGGTACAATCTTCTATCCTTACAACTCCCCTCCCGCTGTCATGACCCAACCCATCTATGAACGACCAGGCTCTGTCGCGAACCCAGCAGGTTAACCAGCAGCAGAGACGACAAGAATATGGATAAATAAAAGAACGCCCCTTGTTGCAATTTTCTCACTTCCAGAGCTTGCCGAGAGACACCTCCTTGTCGTCGTGCTTGTTGAGAATCTTTGCTGTGGCAAGCTCGAAATCTTCTTGTGTGACGTGCACTCTTCGCTCTCGGAGAGCGTACATGCCTGCTTCCGTACACACACCCTTCAGCTCAGCACCAGAGCACCCGTTCATCTTTTCCGCGATCTTGGTGAGGTTGATGCCACGGGTGAGGTTCATCTTGCGGCTGTGAATGCGGAGAATATCCGCTCGGGCCTCGACGCTGGGCGGAGGGAACTCGATCTTTCGGTCGATACGTCCTGGGCGCAGGAGGGCAGGGTCGAGAATGTCGAGACGGTTGGTGGCCATGATGACCTTGATGTTCTTAGTGGGTTCGAAACCATCAAGCTGGTTCAGCAACTCAAGCATAGTTCGTTGGACTTCGGAATCTCCTCCTGAAGAACCCTCCACTCGTGAGGAACCAATGCTGTCGATTTCATCCATGAAGATGATAGATGGGGCGTGCTCTCGGGCCATGACGAAGAGTTCTCGCACCATGCGACTACCCTCACCAATGTACTTCTGGACCAGTTCGGAACCTGACACTCGGATGAATTTACAAGCAGTGTGGTGAGCAACAGCTCGTGCCAGTAGTGTCTTTCCAGTACCAGGGGGGCCGTATAGCAAGACACCCTTGGGTTGTGCAATTCCAAGAGACTCGAAAAGCTCGGGGTGCTTGAGACCAAGTTCGATAACTTCCTTGATCTCCTTGATCTGCTGGTCCAAACCACCAATCATGTCGTATGTGCTGTCGGGAACCTTCTCCACCATCATGAGAGAGACTAGAGGGTCGACGGAGGAGGGGAGCATCTTCTCGAGTTTGTAGCTATCGGACAGGAGGGTGACTCGCTTTCCTGGTGTGAGCTTGCCGATATCGACACTATCCGACACGTCGACCACTGGAGAAACGTTAGCATTGACAATTCCAAGCTAGATGAACTGGATGAGCATACCATATTTGCCTTCCGGGTGGACTTTGACCAAAATCTTCTTGGTGCTCATGACCTTGACGACTTCTCCGACATAGGAACCAGGCTGTTGCAACAGACCCAGCTCTTCCCTCAACAATCGCACGCGGGAGTTGTAGTCATTTCTCTGAGCTTCAAGACGACGAAGCGCGGCTTGTCCCTTAAGGATCTCAAGCTTCATAGCCTCGATCTTGTTGTGGTAGTACTCGTCGAGCGCCATGTTTGGCGAAGCTCCCTTGACGTCAGGGAAACGAGCTGATAAGTATTGTTCGGGGGTGTAGATATGTAGGTTTTGGCACGAATTGCCAGATTCACGGGTTCGGGGTGGAGGCGGAGATAGTAATGCGTGTCGGGGATTGGGTGTGTTGGTGATGGTTTGCGATGAGGTTGAAGCTCGATGACAAGGCTACAGCTTGTCTCGTAATCCTCCAGAGCGAATGAGTGCACGGGCCAAGCAGGTGGGAGCTGCCCTCCAAGGTCGGCGTTATGTTGTGCCGTCGTCCGGGCGACTACGGGTGTAGGGTAAGCTTTACAGAAGGTTCGGTTGGGACCACTGTGATGGAACCAGCCGAGAATTACAAACTGTGTGTTCTTTAACAGTGTGAGAGATTAAGTTTATGGCCTGTGGTGGCCGAGTGTGGTTCCTTTTACATATCGGGTCTCTGTGTGAAATGTCGAGTCTTTCAAAGGCCGTTTCATTGTGTCAAGTTCTCATACGGTCTACAACGTCGTCAAGTGTACAGACTCATGGCTGCCACTCATAGTGGAACTCCACCATCCACAGCGCTCTCTGCCGCGTTACCCCCACTGAGACACACTAGACCGCTTAGGAGTTGATGCAAGGCTCATCGAAGCTGACATGACATCGGCTGTTAAGGTATCAAGATATGGTTTGCGAAGGAAGATTGATCAGCACCCGGCTAAAGCGGATGAATCTCTCCTCTTGGCCCATGATCTTCCTCGGAATTCTCAGAAATTCGGACATCTCATCGATTACCTTCGGTACCCCTCTGTTGATCAAGTCAACTGTCGTGGAAAGAGCCGCCTGTCTGCTACCAACCAAGACCCTGGGGATGCATAATGACGTCGAATCATTGGACGAGGTTGAACACGCGCAAGGTGCGATAAGACACACTAAGCTGCCATGGGGAAGGTTGGCTGATCACGAGCTGCGAGCTTGGCTAAGGTGGACCAGGCAAAGGAGCTAGACTAGGGGTTGGTTCTGTCGATGTCGATGGGCTAGCTTGTTTATCGTCTTATGTACATAGCCAGAGTCGATTTGTGAGAGTGATCCATCGATTTTGAGTTGGATACAGTACTGTTATGTAGACTACAGTAAACTTTCTTTGTGTTCAGCTAACGGAACCTGAAAACCCATTCCTTCTTCCCCCGTAAAATAACAGGAGTCAATTGTGAGCCTTCACGATTTATCTGGCGCTCTCTGCCTTGATTCCTTCTTTGCGCAGTCTGTTGCGCTTTCTTGGAAAGCTCACTGCAGCTTGAGTAACATCATTTTACCAGAGACTTACTTGCTTGCTCGGAGACTCCGTCCATCTCTTTTCCCTCATCAACTCCCTCTCTCCCTCCCTCTGAACCTTGTCCAGAAAAGAAACAAATTCCAGCTCGTCTCAGTTGTGTTCATCTCAATTTTCAAACCCAACTGAGCACAGTCCAGTCCTGCCTATCCCGCTGCCCAATCCTTCGTCTCATCGCGATTCTTGGTTGCTTGGGCCGTTTTGATCATCGCGTCGCATCGTCTGTACGACTCTCTCGGCGCTGCATCGTGACATTGGCATGCCCGGCATTCCCTCTTTTTCTCAAGTATAGAGATAGGTACAGCTTACGTCTGATCGCATTTGTGAGCTTGTTTCTTATTTATTGCCTTTCTCTTGTTTGTTCACCTTTTGCATCAAACAAAAGTTTCTTGTGATAAAAATCGCCTATTACTCGACCGTTGATTGCAGTACCACTGTTCTACTATGGATCCCTCGAGACGGGAGAGCTCGTCGACTGGGCATCAACTTGGCGACTCGTCTGGCAATGCATCTCCATCGGATACGCGTCATCCGCTTGCCCAGGCCGAATCTGCCGTCCTTCGCGAAGCAGAGGGCTTGTCAGAGAGCTTCCAGTCCACTGACACTGTGCGGCGGAGACCAGAGGGTTATGGTAGGTTCCATGCTCTATGCCTTTTCTTGGCGAGAGACCGGGGTTAATTTTAAATATTCCTAGGCTCGATAAGCGGTCCAGCTGCTTCAGGTTCAGCTCAACAATCAAAAGAGACATCTCAAGAGCGCAGCTCGGCTCGCGCTACCCAATCTTCGCGTCCTTCGAGAGGCCCCGAGAGAATGCGATCCGTCACTCGACTACGAAAGCCACCAATGCCTCGACGCCCATCTTCGAACACGCCTTATCGCGGCGGTGTTTTCTCAGCCGATGACGATGTACACGAGGTAGAAGCCGATGCCGCCGAACGTCAACAATCATATCGTCGTAGACCTCAGCTCTCGACCCAACTCTCTCGAGTTCAATCGCACACGAATGAAGACGATGAAAATGACGACACCAACGACGATAATGGCGAATCGACAGAGAGCCCTGCTGAAGCACAAGCGGATGAAGAAGAGACTACCCCAGTCGAGGGCCAGGACGACTCAGATGGCGACGTCAGTGAAGCCGAGAGCTTCACCCTCAAGGACAGACAGCAGGCCATCAACCAGACTCACCCTTTCGGTATTCGTGTATGGAAGCCAGCATTGTACAAGAAGGATCGTTCAATTCAGAAGTTTGCACAAGCAGATATTCATTCTGCGCCTGGCGGAAGGGTGAGCAGCTGGCTTCTCGCTTTCAATTTGCTCTGGACCCTCCTATTTGGTTGGTGGTTGGCCTCGTTTGCAGCTATTGGCGCCATCGTATGCCTGCTCTTTTCTGCTGCTCCTAGTGGGAGAGAGTATGGAAGAGTTCTATGGGGTCTCGCAGGATATCTGTTCTACCCCTTTGGCAAGTTTGTCCGTCTGGAAAAGGACGAGACCTACATGGACGAGGACCAAGATGAAGGACGCAGCATTTCTGAATACGAGCAATGGCAAAGCGGAGACCTCGAGTACGGCCGATTGTTCTTTGGACCCGATCGTAATCGCTCGATTGTCGGACGCTCGAGAAGAAGTATCGATTCTGAGCCCAGCGAGACGGAGAGCTTGCTTGGACGTGGACGACGCGGTGAACCCGCGGAGCTCCCTCCCCGCATCAAGAGACGGCTTTTTGGGCGTGGCCAGTGGAATATTGGCCGTGTCATCTTCTTCATCTTCTTCTACTGTCTCATTTCGCCTTCGCTCCTCCTTGTATCCGGTATCTGTTGGTTCTTGGTTTTCTGGATCCCCATGGGCAAGGCTACATTCTTGCTGTTTGACCACCTTCGACGACATCCCCTGGCTTTGTCTTTTGAGACCGATATTAGATATATCCGTGAAGACGATGGCCCGAGCTCTTCAGTCCTCCTCTGCACATACCGTGCTGTAGGAACTCGATACTGGAAGTACACTGTTGATGGTACCAATATCTTCCTCATCAACCTCATGGTTGTCGTCGTCTTTGTTATCGCCGATTGGATTGTCCTTGAGGGCATCTTCCATGTTGAAGGATTCATTACATCTCCGGCCTTCCTCTTCTGTGCTGGACTCCTTTCTATCATCCCTCTGGCTTACTTCATCGGGCAAGCTGTTGCATCTATCTCAGCTCAGTCTTCGATGGGTGTGGGTGCTGCCATCAACGCTTTCTTCGCAACTGTTGTCGAAGTGTTCCTCTACTGTGTTGCCCTTACTCAAGGTAAGGGACAGCTCGTCGAGGGAAGTATTGTGGGAAGTATTTTCGCAGGTATCCTTTTCTTGCCAGGTATTTCCATGTGCTTCGGTGCTATCAAGCGAAAGACGCAGCGCTTCAACGCCAGGTCTGCGGGTGTGACCTCGACAATGTTGCTGTTCGCTATTGTTGGCGCCTTTGGCCCTACTCTGTTTTATCAGATTTACGGAACCCACGAGCTCAACTGCATGGACTGTGAGGACTACAACACCGGCGAAAACAGAGACTGTCGACGCTGCTACTTTAGCCAAGCTCCTTCACTTAGTGACAGGTTCTACTTGGAGGCTGTTCGTCCTTACTGTTACATGGCAGCAGCCATGTTGTTCTTCTCATACTTGATTGGTCTATGGTTCACTCTCCGAACTCACGCTGCTGTCATTTGGAATGCCGAGGTTGAGGAGAAGCGACACGAAGAGCATATGCATTCGTCCAGTCTTCGAACTTCTCAAGTTCACAGCCATCCTCATACTCACTCTCAAAACACCGCTGAGACCAGTAGTGCTGATGTTCGCGATACTCAACTTTACAAGCGTATCCTGGGCCAGTCCCTTAAGCAGTCTGGTTACACAGAAGACCTCTCTCGCCAGAGCTCTACAACCGGACAGACCGCCCCTGCCAATGGCTCAGCTTCGACTCCCCATGTTGTGCCTCCTAAATCCAGCGGCGGTGAGCAGTCTCGCTCTGCTCTTCATGTTCCTGGTCTAAGCGATGCCGACAACAAGATCCTCCAACGTGAGGTGACTGAGATTGCTGCCGCGGCTGCGACGATTGCATCGCGCGAACGCATGTCGCGAAAGCCATCAACTGTGCCCCCCACTCATGCTCCGGGCGCTCGTCCTTCAGCGAGCCGTCAACACACCCACACGCATGCCGAGACTGAGGGCCCTGCTACCGAAGCTCACCAAGCACATGGCGGTCATGATGCGCCCAACTGGAGTCGTGCCAAGAGTGCCATCATCCTTCTCGGAGCAACCGTTTTGTATGCCATTATCGCTGAAATTCTGGTTGATACTGTGGATGTTGTTTTGGAAAGCTTCTCGATTGACCAAAAGTTCCTTGGTATTACCTTGTTCGCCCTTGTTCCCAACACTACTGAGTTTTTGGTAAATAGTTTTGTTCCCTATTTGACAGATAATTGCTAACCAGCTCTAGAACGCCATCTCCTTCGCTATGAACGGAAACATCGCCCTTTCCATGGAGATTGGTTCGGCTTACGCTCTGCAAGTGTGTTTGCTCCAGATCCCCGCGCTCGTCTTCTACTCGGCCTTCTGGCCAGGTGTCCCGGAGGGTGGTGACCCGGCGTTGTATACTTTCTCGCTTCTCTTCCCTCAGTGGGATCTAGTCACGGTCATTCTGTGCGTGTTCTTGTTGAGCTACATGTACGGTGAAGGAAAGAGCAACTACTTCAAGGGTAGCATTCTTATGTTGACCTACTTGGTTGTCGTCATTGGCTATTACTTCAGTGGATATACGGATGATGCTATGGGCATGGAGCGATTCGATGTCATGGGAGCTGATGGTAAATACCAGAGCTACAAGACGATCGGTAGATCAACGAGGGGCATGGCATTCCCAGCATGAGTTGCTGGTTGGTGAGAAAGGGGTTGAGTAGTTGTGTGGGGAGAATGTGCATTTACATGGACCGTTAATACTGGACGAACATACACTACATCATACATAGTACATTCGATGAGCCCTTGATTCGAGGGTCTGCATTGTTTGGTGTTTACATTTCAAGAGGTTAATTGTTTTATGGTGGGCTACTGAGTTATGAGCATTGGGAATGCGATGGATTTCATTATGGACTGGTCATTGTAAGGTGTTAACATCTGGATTTAGTCTTTCCTCACCATTGTCATTCTATCACAATAACCTTCAGCTCGGGTGACAACGTGATTAAGTCAAAGATATGTTACTGATATTGACAAAGGCCTATTATATGTATGACCAGACAAGATATGTAAAGATACTATGTACAAAGAAGTGACATGCTGCCAGATGTGATATTATATCAACCCCTCATCTCAAACAAGGTGTTTCGTTTAGGCCATGCCGAAGCCAGCGGAGGTCATGACGCTCTTGGCGCTGTTGTAGTCAGAAGCACTAGCAATGGTCTTGCCCTTGAAGTTGCTGAGGAAGCCAGTGTTGGTGCCACCGAGAGTACCAGAGCTGCCGAAGCCGTTGAGCTGACAGTTGCGGCCAAGAGAAGCGGCACAAGCAGAGCCAGAGGTAGGAACACCGAAGAGCTGGCCCTGGTAACCCTTGGAGTCAACGGGGTACTTGACGTTCTGGAAGATGTTACCCTCAGCGAGGACAGAGCCAGAGTCGATCTCGAAAGCGTGGTCAGGGACATCGTGGAAGAAGTTGTTGACGGCGTGGAGGAGAGTGTTGCCAGAGACCTTGGGGCCACGGCCGGAAACTCGGTAGACGTAGTTGTTCTTGAAGGTGACGAGATCGTTGGAGCCGGCGAAGTAGAGACCCCAGTAGTGGTAGTTGTTGCAGCTAGCAGACCAGCTGGTGGTACCATCAATCTTGCTGTTGGAGATGGTGACACGGTTGCAGGCGTTGTTTCCGAGGACAATGTGCTGACGACCGATGAGAGAAGTGGTAACATGGTCGATCCAGACGTTGTCAGTGTTGTCGAGGGTAATGGCATCACCACCCCAGACGTATTGAGGGTTAAGCTCAGTGATGTGAACGTTCTGGATGATGACGTTCTTGGAACCAACGATTCGGAGACCCTTACCGCGGATGACACCCTTGGAGCCAACGCCGATCAGGGACTTGTTGGAGCCAACCTTGATACCCAGAATACCGGCCTTGTCATACTTGACGTTGACCTTGGGGGCGTTGGGCTGGTAGTTGCCACACCAGTTGTTCTGATTGATGGCAGTCTGGCACTTGGATCCAGTTCCCCAGGGAGCACAACCAGTCTCGCTAGCGGTACCCTCGGTGCCGATAAAGTTGATGGTGCGGTCGAGGTAGATAACTCGGGCGGAGGAGTCGCCGAGGTAGGAGACGAGCTCAGCGGCGGTCTTGGGGTAGACGGCTCCAGCGTTGCCTCCTCCTGTGGTGGAGGAACCGAAACCCTCGGCGCGGGTGGGAAGAGCGCCGAGGACGGAGGGCAGAGCGGCGGCGACCGCGAATAGGGTCTGGAAGAGAGAAGGCATGTTGATATAGGGAGTGACAGTGGCAGTATGTTATGTGTAAGTGAGGACTGTAAGAAGAAACCAGAGACCCAGCTACTGGTTGTATGAGAAAGAATGAAGGAGAGAATACTGAGAAGCAAGTCAGAGAGAGAGTGTGAGATATCGTGAAGTTCATATACTGTCCATCTCAGTCCATCGTGTAAGCCAAGCAAGCCTGATCCTCCACCCTATGGAGTCTTGATAATTACAAGGTATCATACTAGCATCGGACAAAGGGCCCTTGGCAGACGGGAATTCGGCGAAGTTGACGATTGATTACAGCCTTATTTCGGGGTGTAATGCTTCATCGAGCCACGGACCCTCCCGGCCCATGTTGCCCTATTCGGAAGCGGTCCGGGATATGATTCGTGGGAATTCCGTCGATGTTTCGGCGTGGTGGGTTATCTGTAGAGCCCACGCCCCCCTATCCAATGTTAATATTCCCAGTGTCAGGGTGTTGTTCTTGGCGGACTTTTTATTTAGATTGTGTACTCCGTAGAGATAAATGGATTATGGATGTAAGCAAGATGGGACGATTCTGAAATCATGATCCCGCGTATTCAGAGTGGAGCGCTTCGGTAGATGAGGCGTCCGGATCCGATGCGGTGGTTCGGCCGGCTAAAGGAGAGCCCAAGATGGAAGGTCCTTCATTTATCACTGTGCCAAGGGTTCTAATATGATTGATTAGTAGCTGCAACGTTAACTCTATGCATATCCGTAATGTCACTATCCGGAAGTATTCTAGAACTTAGGTTTAGCCTCTTTGTGACAGGTACTCTAAACAAATAGTCTAAACAGCTATCTATCGATAGCTTAATTTTAGGGTGACATATCGTGCTTGACCATTCCATTTTCTTCAGGCCTCCGATTCACTAGCTGCTGATAAACAGAAACAAGTCCTGTGTTTTCAGCTCGGGCTTCTGGTGAGGTTTTGTTTGACAATCAGGTGGAAAAGGGAGGGGCGGTACTAGGCCCATGTGGTGATGGGGCTGTTCAAGCGTGGCTCATCGCTTCGTTCTTAGCTCTGTTGGTTCTTGACTCGTGAGTGTGTTTCATGTTGATGATTTTCTTTATCTAAGCTCTGGTGTTTTAGCCATTTGACTGAACATAAGCTTGTCTTTGGCTAAATTGCCCTGTTCGTCTACCATTTTTGGTATGCAAATGTCTGGTGTATACTCTGTGAATATCTTCACCGTAGAGAATGGACTGTTGTTCATCAACTCTCGGGTAGGTTTTGTCTAAACACTAGAACGCACTTATTGCCATGGTCGATGAAGCCTCTGTAAGTTATCTCGAACATGAGTTTGCGTAGTCCAAGATATGGGTATATATTGCGTCTTTCTGAACCTGAAGCGATGGTATTGAAGTACAACTCACGGCAGTCACAAAAACTACACTCCGTACAACCCGATTTACACTTTCAACATTCTACTCTAGCAGCATGTCATCCCCATCTAATAATACGAATTACCAACAGCAAAGTGCTCTGCCTAATCTTCCAACTGAGATTCTACTTGAGATTCTCGACAAGGATTATCTGGAATGGAAGGACTACTACAACCTTCGCCGTACATCATCTCGCCTATCCCACCTTGCTCGCGAGCCCATGTACCGGGGAGGAGACTATTGCGTCTTTCGAATGGCTTGCTTTCGTGGTGATCTCGATACGCTAGCTATTTGTGCTCAGCATGGCGCCGTGCCGACCCAGTGCAGTCGGAAGAGCCTGTCCGATGGTCCTTTGGGTCTCATTGAGCCGGGATACGGCCTGTACCGACGCAATACGGAAGACGACTACCAGGAGTGTTGGCATTGGAATATCTGGGGCGACGGATTTCACGGACCCGGCGACGTTGTTACACTAGGATTCTATGAAGGTAACTTTTCTGCAGAGAGATTCATCGAGGTTTGGCAATGGCTGTCGGACCAGGGGTGTGAACTCTTCACTTTTATGAAGCTACGCTCTCTGGTCCGCATGGGCTTTCCTTGCTTCTCGTTTGCTCTTCTATCTATGCTTCCGACCGCTACTGACAAAGCACATCATCAAGGAATCTGCGACGTCATCCATTTCCTCTACAGTAAGGGTTTGAGAATCCCTCATCCGGACAGGAGACTTTGGAGGAGAGGAACGTGGCCAGCTTATTTTCCTTTAGCCAGGGATAATCGCCCAAACATGCTGCAGGCTCTGCTGCAGACTAATTGCCCACCCTCCATTCTCGAGCTCTACTTGAGACAGGTCAACGATGAGGGTCTCGTTTTCGATCATTCGGAAGCATGGGATCCATACTTCAAGGGATTGGAAACTATCTCGCAACTTCTCTCCATCTTGTTTGATGACATGTTCGCTCCCTGGATCTACAAGGGTGACAGTACCCGTAGTATGAGCGATGATCTCCAAGCAAAGATCTGCTTACTGACTCAACATCAGGGCGCCAATGCTTTTGAGCTGTACATGCTTCGGGACATTCTCGCAGCTTTGCGAAAGATTGATGCCAGAAAGGAAAGCCAAGGTGGTCTTGACTTTGAGCGTGATGGGGTATGGTGCTGGTATGAACTATGCATGGCAGTTAGCTATATCTCTGATGAGGATGTTCGAAAGCAAACAGTGGATCTTCACTTCACCAGTCCTGGAGACGTACAGATGATTCACCCCTACCTCAGTAGAGGGTGGTTCCCTCCCAGCGAACTGGCGCATGCGAGGAGAACGGTCCTTGAGAAGAGAGCTCTTGAGTCTGGGCAAAAGACCGAAGATATTGAGCTACATGGGCAGAGACCATCCACACGTAAGTGGGCTCAAATGCCCTTGGATGCTTGGGATTACATCCTCAACTGGCCATGACGATGATCGAGTGGTGGCAGGTCGTAAAGCAACTCGTCCGAAGTATTTCCTCCCAGCAGCAGTAACCAGTAACCGTAGGTCATTAGCTTTTGTAGTAGTATAAATTGAAAAAGAAAACGGTTGTATAAAACGCCCTGAAGTTCCCTACAAAGATAACCAGTAAATAGTTATTAAATAGTCTGTGAAGTTTATGGTGAGAGTGCCCTAATTTGATTGGAAACCCGGGGGG